GCTCCCCAAGTAGCCTGCACCCGAAGCCTGGCCGAGCTGCTGGGCTGCTTCCTCTGCCGGCTGCTTCCCAGCCTGCTTGGCTCTGTGTGCTGTTTATGCAGAGTAGTTCCAAATTTCAGAACAAGCTGTCCAATATTCATGAGTTATTTTGTGTTTATCCAGTCCTGAGGCATCTTTCAGAAGCCTGGGGATAAATTCTGATTTTTGGTTTTTGGTTTTCTTATAATATCTGTTACTGGAAATGCACTGACCCTACACAACCAATTCCAGGCCCTAAACGTGGCCTCTGTTTAGCTGAGAGAAAGGTCAGAGAAAGGACTAGCACAAAGCTGAATTGTTTTACAAGCCTACGTTTCCCAAACCCCTGCTCTGATAATACTTGTAAGCAAGTGCTGGAGCAAACCATATGTGTAGAGATGAATCACATATAAAATGATATCCTAATATTAGTTTTATATTTAGTTACAAGATAAATACAGTGATTTTTCTCTTGAAAGTCAGTGACAGCCCCATTCTCAGCTGATGTGAAGCCGTGCAGCTCCTTGGACTATGCAAACTCACAGGGTATGACTGAACCACCGATTTCTTCGTGAAGAAAGAAAAACAGTATCAACACCTTGTTTCTGAAGTGTTTCAGGTTATTGTGTGAGAAAAGCTAAAAGATATGAAAATGTTAAGATACCCTGCATTTGTATTAAAACTGATTATGTTATTACCTTAAAATACATGATGGGGCCATTTTGTCCCCAGCATGAGGATATCTCACTGTAAACCTCCAGGTGGTTGGAGCATATTAAAATCCCTTCACGTTAATTATAAGACTGTGGGTTAGAGTTGGAATAAGAGTTTTTAGGAGTGACAGCATTAGTTCCTCAGCTGATGCTGTAGCAAAGCAAAGGGTTAAGCCACTCAATGTGCTGGGATTACTGCATTATAAAAGAGGGACGTCAAACTTTTTCACTCAGCAGTGGAGAAAACAGTCTGAAGGCATCTTTGGAGTGGATTAGTTTTGAAATAACGCTAAGCCAGTCCTTTGCTCTCTGCAAGAATTTATTTTAAATGCCTCAAATGCTTAACTTTTTGAATTAACAATCAGGCCTGTTCTCTGGTTGCTCTTAGTAACATCCAGAGTCGTACCAGCTCCCAGCCAAGTATCTGGGTCCGATCTCCTTAATGTGTGCGATAAGCACTTCGCCTGTGCCATTAGGAGTCCTGGCTACCACCAGCCTTATCTGAACAATAGCGTTCAGGATGTTTGCTCTCGGGCTGTTCGCTCGGTACGATGCCAGCTAAATGGTTCATCAGCAGCTGCAGTGGAAAAGCTAATCTCAATAGGAGGGAGTTGGGTTTGCAGCCTATTAGGGGAGCAGCTGGAAGAAGGCTGCCTCCTAAAGATCCCTTCTGCTGTCCCAGTAGCTTTCTTCATCAGGGCTGTCCTCAAACCTTGCCGTAGCTCTTTAGCTTAGCAGTACGTGCAGCCTTCTGCATCCAACTCTTTCCTCTGTGGACCTCTTGCTTTATACCAGCTCTTCTGGAAGAGCTCTTCCCTGCCTGCAGACCTTCTTCCTCATGCGAGTACACCTCCTGGCACTGTGTAATGCAGGTATGCAAGATAAATAAATTCAATAAAGAGCCAGTGAGAGCACATACATCCTTTAGAGACCCATGCGTGAGGTTGTACCCTTTGCTCTGGGTAGAATTGCTGATGTAGGGCTTTTTGGTGTGGGGGGACTTTTAAGTTTTTTGTTTTATTTTTTTTTTTCCAGAAAATGTTGTCATCTCCTATCCAGTGAAAGCAGATATTTCGTAGCTGTTCATGGTTCTTCCCTGGCTGGAAGCACCCTCCCCAAAACAGGATGTTTTTTGTTATAGAAACTTCCTACCAAAAGAGCTGTGGATTTAATGCTTTAGATGTTTAAAGCAGATCTGTCCCCATTAAATACAATGTTCCAGGAAATATGCAAGAGCTGGCAGGAGCAGCGTCTTTTATTTTCATTATCCAAAGCATCCATCAGATAAAGACTACTTCAAAAGGCCTTTTTTTTTCTCTCCCCCAGCATCAACTTCAGTGAATGTATTTAGCAGAAAGGCAGTCAGAGATCTGTGACAAGAGGGCTGGGGAGTGTCAGAAACTTCTATAGGTAAAATCTCCTCCTCATTCTCTGATGGAAAAAAAAAAATTAAGCAAGCAGAAGAGCCATCAGGCAGCTTTGCAGCTCCCCACGACTTCCTGAGGGTGCCAAGATGTTCTTGCTCCCAAAGGAGGGAGCAAAGCCCTGGGTTTACATGCGATGAAAATCACCATTCCACCCTGTCCGCTCCCCATAGCTCTTCTGGACCTTCCTGCCTGCCCCTTGGCATGGCAGCATTGTGCATAGGACAGACCCTTCCTTTCCCTGTGGGCAGGGGTAAGATTGGGCTCTCCTCATAAATTTGTATGTCCTCACATGGCCAGACCCCCTTACATGCACTTTCAGCGCTTTGACATCAGTCACTCTGGTTGCTTAACCCACAGTTCTGTTCTCAGATGAATGAAGGACTGTTGAAGAAGTCTGGATAATTTAACCCGGCACCCTAGGTTTTCCCTGCAGATCCCATATCCACATGCTCGTTCACCTGCCTTCGCTGGCTCCACAGGGGCTGCAGTACCCAGCGAGCAGTAGAGGTGAATATTGCACCATGACTGCTGGCTGTGTGGGCAGTTAGTGATTTCCTAGTGGATTATAAGCTACAGCCAGGATCAACTAAAAGGAACTATCGCAGCAGACCTCCAGAAATGAGCTGCATATCCACATTCCAAAAATCATTGAAACAACTTCCAAGAAAAGTTGCTGGCACATGAACTGGTTGGTCGCATGAGCATGGAGAAGTGAGAAGACACTGGTTGCTATAAGGAGGAGTAATCAATTTCTAAGGGGCAAATGGGGTGTGTTAATTTCTATTTAATTGGATTCCTGTGCTTCATGGACCCATTGTGCGAGCAGAGAAGCCCCTGAAGATGCCCTCATCTCCTCCTGATCTCGTGATGCATAAGCTGGAAGCAGGAGCCACCATCCAAACCTGCTCATTTTTCTCATCTTTTCACGTGCTGATAGGCCTGCAGAGAGACATTGCAGCCCTGGAGCTGTTTTTGTGCTTTTTAGCCTGATTTCAATGCTTCTGCTCTTTTTTTCTTCTTTTTTTCTTTTTTTTTCTTTTTTTTTCTTTTTTTTTCTTTTTTTTTCATTTTTTTTTTCTTTTTTTTCTTTTTTTTTTTAATGTGGTAGATGATGCAGCCTTTCCAAGAACACAAACATTTCTGGCGTATCTCGCAGATCCTGGGTTCAGATAAAATCTGATGGGAGCTGATAGCCCTTTAAATTCCTTCCACTTGCTGTCAGAACTGGAATCTGCAACGTCAACAATCCTTTATTTGCAGTATTTTTTTTTTTCTCTTGATTCTCTTATTTCCCCCAAACCTGCTCCAAGAACCAGGTTAGCAACCAGGTCTTCTGAGGCCTTGGGGAATTACACTTCAGGAGTACACAGCAAAGTGAAATTTGTTTGCTGATATAAAATCCACCATAAATGAAAGTTTACCTCAGATCATAGTGCTTTCTACAGCAGGACGGAGAACTGTGCAGTCATTTCCCTCAGCACTGAATTGTTATGGTGAAACTCATACCCCTCACTCACTACAAGGACATCGAGGCCATGGAGCATATCCAGAGAAGGGCTACAAAGCTGGTGGAGGGCCTGGACCACAAGTCCTGTGAGGAACAGCTGAGGGAACTGGGGTTGTTTAGTCTGGAGAAGAGGAGGCTCAGGGGAGACCTTATCAAACTTTACGATTACCTTAAAGGAGGCAATAGCAAGGCAGGGGTCTGGCTCATCTCCCAAACACCAAGTGGTAAGATGAGGGGAAATGGACTCAAGTTGTGCCAGGGTAGGTTTAGGTTGGATCTTAGGAGAAATTTCTTCACCAAAAGGGTTGTGAAGTATTGGAATACACTGCCCAGGGAAATGGTTGAGTCACCATCCCTGGAGGTCTTCAGAAAACGTGTAGATTGGTGCTTAGTGACATGGTTTAGTGGTAGGCTTGGCAGTGATGGGTTAATGGTTGGACCAGGTGATCTCAAGAGATCTGTTGCAACCTAAATGATTTTATGATTCTATCATTATAAAACTGCCTTAGATAGAAAGCACAGGGGCAAATCCTTCTCTTAAAAGCTAACTGAATTTGGGGCCAAAGGACAAGCAGATCAGTGTATTTCTGGTGCAGTCAGAATTGATGCTCATGTATTCAAGTATTGAGTTTCCCCATTAAGGCAGTAAACTTCTTACTGCAAGCTCCAGCTTGTGATTTATTCAGGTTGGAGGCCTTGTGCAGCAAGAAAAAAACAGCATTTGAGGTCTCATGGCTGTCACGAGCCAGGTAGGAGGTCTCTGCCAACATGGGCCCTGTTGAAATATTCACAATTTGGTAATAGCTGACTTTGAGTTAGCACCTCCCAAGAGGACGAATGGAGCCATTTCACAGCCGTGCTTCACAAGCTAGTCTCCCCAAGAAACACAGAAAAGCACAAAGATGTTTTCTGTTTAAAGGATCTTTTAAAATCCTCACAGCCTTCTTGGCCCCTAAAGGCCATGCTGGGAGAAGGTGCAGGGGGACCTAGGGATGCCCAGGATTCCCGAAATTGAATCTTGCCATGGAGGCCCCTTGTTTGCTGTGGTGCCCTTCTCCGAGCTGCTGACCTAAGTGTGCAGCCCTGTCTGACGTCGCCCTTGTTTTAAGTGTTTTAAGCAATCCTGGCCCTGCCAGCATTTCAGACAGCTTGGAAAGCTTGCAGTGTAAAGCCTTGGTGCTACAAGGCCTTGAAGCCAAAAAAAAACAGCAGGGCTGAGGCAAGTTGCCACCCCCACCCTCTCCATCCCACCCTAGCCAACTTTCTTCCTCTTTTTTAGTTTTCTTGCCTTTTTTGTTCTTTTTGTTCTTTTTTTTTTTTTTTGGTTTGTTTGCTCCGTTTCCTTTGCCAGATCATTTCCCTGCTCTGAGTCACCCCACATCAGGGCTGTTTTGTTAAGAGCCTGGGGACTGCGGCCACTGGCAGATGCACGAGCCTCCCACCTTCCCATACGTAGTGCCCTAGCAGTGGCCAGCACAGGGTGAATGAAGTGGGTGACAAATGACATGCAAATGCCTTCCCTGGTGGCTACAGAAAAGTTATTTGCTTGCACCATTCAGAAGGCTGGTGTTTGCATATTATTAAACGCTGACATCCTGTTGAACTTCTTGTAGCATAAGATTTGCAGACAGTGACTCGTTCAGGGATTTGGACTTTATTGACTGAGGGCTGCTTGGCAGAGAAGGAGAAAATGAGCTGGATTGGGAAGTGAGCGCTCGCACGGCTATTTGGAGAGGATTCTTCTGTGCGAGGGAGACGGGAGAATAATTTGGCTTCAGCTCCAAGGTAGGGATTCATTTTTTCTGTCCTCTTGGCTTCCTGTGGAGGTGTTTAGGAAAAAAAAAGAAAAAAAAAAAGGCAATAAAAGAAGCTTTTTGGCTCTTGTAGTATCTGTTTGCGTGACAGCTTCCCACTGCGAGGGAACTGTGAGAATCTTAGAAAGTTACTACCGCGCTTTCCATGTTGCTGGGTAACAGTTTCTGGTTCTCACGTGACCCCCCCCCAAATCATCCTCATAAATTGTATCCGAAAATGCCAAACGATGCTGGCACCGCAGCTGCAGGGGTGCTTGGAGGTGCTGCCCCTGCCAGAGTGCATGTGCTGGAGCAGGCAAACAAAGACCTGTGGTACATCCCAGTAGGGTTTCTGTGGGACCTGGACTGCAGTTGGGATGCCATGAGGAAGCCCCATCAGACCAGGGTACAGGATTTACAGCCCCTTTAGCTGGTGGTGGTACTGTGCTGTGGTTTTTACCTAGCGCAGGTGGGAGCTGACATCTTCTGTGTGTGGGATGAGTGCTGGCTAACATGTGGCAGCCCTCTGACCCTAAATCTGTGGCTCCTCCAAGGACCTGTGGTACTGTGCAAGGGTGCTGCAGGGCTCTCATCTGCTGTAGAAATCTTTTTAAATCTGTTTGGCTGATAGGGGAGACTCACATGTTGCTTCTGGCCATGTTTCCTCGGTGGCAGCAGTCATTTCTGATGTGAGGGTCTGACTTATGCACTGATTTCATTTAAACGTGGCTTACCGGGTTAGGGAAAATCCTTTATCAAGTGTCTTCACGCAGTGTTACTGCTGTAAGTAAGAGGGTTTTTAAACCCATTTAAAGCTAAGCTAGAAAAATCTTTAAATATAAATAAGGCTTTAGATCACACTGAAGATCCTAACATAAACATCCTTGAGCATCTCACTTTAGATTGATTTGTATGTGGTTCCTGCAGCAGCCTAATGATTTATTTACTTGTTTGTTTACTGGGGAGGAAAAAGGCACAGGTGATTATTTTTACCAGTGTAGTTAATCCTGGTTTAACCCCACCACTGCCAAAACATTCAGAGTGGACAGATTTACCACTTGTATGAGATGTCACACAATATCATTTCTTTTATTTGCCCAGGAGAGAGAAGCTGCACTGGTACCCAGCATCCTAATGTTGGTGGGTGAGACTGAATGAGTACAACACGCTCTTTCGATGTGCAAGAATAAGCTATGCTAGCATAATACATACACATTTATACCAGTAAGAACCCAGTCTTTTTTGTTTATGCTCCGAAATCCATCTCTGGGTGTTTGCTGATGGAAAAAGCCACTGCAACCTTTGTGCCACCTCCAGCCAATGCGTGGCCCCACTCCTGCTCGTTAACTTCTTCAGTAGGGCAGAGAAGGACTGGGTACTCATTCCAAACCCTTTTCATTACTTTTATCATAAATCACTCATTCATGCCTCTGATACAGCTGGGGATAAAGAATGTGTAGATCTGAAGGCAGCTGAGGCTGCTCTGTCCTTTTCTAGCCATAACCAGCAGTGGGTGGTTGGAGTGCCCAGCCTGGGTCTCAGCAAGCTTTGCTGTGCTCTGTTGGGCAAACCTTGCCTCTGTCTCAGTTTCCCACCAGAATGCTTAATTTAGACACCAATCTGACCCTCGTGTGAGCCCACCCTTGGTTCCTGCCGACAGCAGTGGGCTCACACAAGGGTCGGATTGGTGTCTAAAATGGAGTTGCCCCCCTCTTTGGGTGTGTGGGAGGGTGATCTCATTAGTCTGCGTGTGCTGAGCTGTTCAGACACTGCACGGGAAAACACGACAGTGGAAATGAAAGCAAGAAGAGAGGAGGAACGAACCCTTCAGGTTTTCTGAAGTGTTTTTGGAAAGCGCAAAGCCAGGATGTTGTTTCTTTTTACTGACTGAGCAGTCTGACATGTTGCAAAATACAAAGGCTCTGCACATTCCCAGCAGCAGAGTGAAAACTGGAAGTACCCAGAAGCAAAACCTATCATTAGCAGGCAGCCAAGCAGATCAGCCTTCCCAGTGCCAGGAACAGGCACAGAAGGGAGGGAGGGGCTGAGCAGCCCTAAAAGAGCTTTTCTTAGGGGCCGAGTGTGTGCAGCAGCAGCCTCATTGAGAGAAGTGAAGGGCTGCAAGGCAACGAGGGCAGCACATGGGGTTGGGGTGGCTCAACCCTCCTCAAAGAGCAGCAGGCAGCTGCTGACCCTCCTTGCGTCCTGTCCAGCAGCATGGGCACTGGGTCTGCTGCCAAAAAATCAGAGTGGCTTTGGCCATAATTTTTGTCCCTTTCCTTTTCATCCAGCTATACAGAGCTGCCCAAAGAAATTCCCTTTGTCACGTCTCCCAGGTCCTTGCTGTGATCCACGTCACCCTGGAGGCACGTAATAATTGAGACGAAAAGCTGTGCTGTGCAGCTCTGTGCTCCGCAACTTCAAAGGATGGAGAAAGTATTGACGTGCCCTGATTTATCCCCTACAGATGTCATCTCCCTAGGAGCTGCTTCTACTCGGAGGAAAGAGGGGCACGCAATGCTGCAGGGAAGCATCTGATTCAAAAAGAAAGGAGGAGGAAAGTTTAAAAGTCTGGGCTGGATGGGTGCAGAGAGCATCGCAGCTTTGCAAACCCAATGATCCAGATAGCACCATGAACCACAGTGCTGCCGTGGCTGGGTGCAAGGGGATGAACACTTATGATATCCTTATGTTTCACAATGGAGTCTCTTTAAATTTGGCTGCTCGGGAGTATTTTTACAGTCCTGTTTCTCCAGGTGTCATTCCCTATCAGGCCTAACCATCCTCGGAGGATGAGAAGAAAGATCAGGAGGGTGTTGCATGTACCCCAGTGGCTGTTGTGAGTGGTGGGTGTCCCCACTGCAGGAAGCACGGGATCAGCATCAGGACGTGTCCGAGGGAGCAGCACCCAGCACCCACGCTCAGGATGTAGCTGGGGAGGGCTTGGGTGCTGCAAGCACGGCCAGACACAGGCTGAGCGAATCGCTTGCACCACTGCAGCCTCCCCTGCGGCCTCAGCAGCAGCTCAAAAAGCTCCTCATGCCACTCTGTAGGCAGGAGGCAAGGTGTATTCATTGTATTTGGGTCTAGCCCTTGTCTCTTTTGTTAGGGGGTTTTACTTTCCTCAGCCAGCACAATCTAAATTGCCTCCCTGACACAGCCAAATAGATGCTCTCCATTTTAATCTCTTATCTGGCTCACTCTGCTGTGATCACCTACCTGCTAATAAGCTCCTGTGGTCAGAGATAAAAAGTGAAATCAGCAGCCCTGTAAGGATGTAGCTGAGCGGCATCGCAGCACTGTGCTTCATGGAAAACAGGCAAAGATGCTGCATTCATAATATATCACTCATATCTCTGTTTGTAAACAGATTTATCACACCATCTGCAGAATTGTGCTGCGGTCTCCATATTTATTTCCTTTCCATTTATATAGTACAACTCCTATTTATTTTATTCACTTTTTGTGGTTACATACATGAGTAGTTTTTTTTTTTTCTTCCCCACAAAAAAGGGCACGCTCTCTGTGGGAGAGCATGTTTAATCAACCAAATTTGTTCAGCTTAGTGCATAACAGCACAAGCCATTACTGTTTTGAGATTTACCTGCCTGGGTTTGTTTCTCATCTCTTCACATCTGTATGGAGCAGGTGGGGAGGAAAGGATAATTTAGAACAAATCCACTGGTAAACAGGATGCTCTGTCAGTATTTCCTGTCTCCTGTTGCAGTGGTTTAGCTTAATTTTCAGAAATCAGCTAAATTTAAGGTCAATAATCCTATTATAATCTCTCTGACTTCCTTTAACTGATACTATATGTAAAGATGTATTTGTCCTACAGGAAGAAAGCAGATAACGTAGCCAGCCCGCTACGTTATCTGGTTTGATAAGAAAGGTTTAGTCATATGCAAATACAAAGATGATTTAATGAGTGTAACAAGAAGTCACCAAAAGAGAGAGGGAGCCTGCAGTCGGCAGCCACTCCTGCAGCCCCTCGGTTCAGCAGCACCGGGCAGGAGCATGGGGCTCCTCTGTGCCCCCACTGGGGGCTGCAGGGGGCTCCTTTGTGTCCCCATGGGGTTAAGGGCAGCTGCGAAACTGGCTTCTGTGCTTGGTGCTCACTTCCACTTCGTTAAGAGCAAAGGGCCTGGGCTCCAGGAGAGCCAGGAGGAGGGACAGGTCCCAGCCAGTGCATCAGGGCAGTGATGGTGCCAAGAGCATGGGCTCAGCACTGGCACATACTTGGTTTTGTGCGAATTCTCTGCACGGGAATAAAAACTCCAGGACTCCCATTTACCTGGGTCAGCAGGAGGACAAAGGATCTTGGCTTTTGGGGAACTCACCAAAGGAGGGTGTGGGCAGGACGATCTGTGCTGCATCCTGTGTGGATGCTCCTCAGGTCCAGCCTTGGCCAGCAGACACTGGAAGAAGACCCCTGGGCTCAATGCAAAACACAGGGCAGGGTTTGACCACAGCTCCTTAGGAGCACCTCTTCAGCATGGGACCATAAGTCTGCTGTGGCCAGGGGCATGGGATGCTGCTGCAAAGCCCAGGCTGTGACCATGGGGCTGGACACTTTTGCTTCCCTCCCTCTGGGCAGGGAGGATTTCTGTTCTGTGCGTTGTGCCCAGCCCAAATTCCTGAGCTCGGGTACAGAGGAGCAGCTGGGGGTGACTAACTCCAGGGAGACTTTTGCCAAGAGTGAGTTGGTTCTGAGTTGCAGGCACTGATGACAAATCTTAGAAACTCTAGCCTATACTTTGGCAGGAAGGTTTTTGTTTGTTTGTTTTTGTTTTATGGCCCTTTTTATTACTTCTTAGCTGTACAGTGTGTTCTCAGAGGGTATATTTGCCGCTTCACGTTTTTTGATCATGACCATCACCAGCTGGGCACTTGGCCAAGAACTTCCTTCCCCTCAGCAAAAGGGTTTCTCCAGAGCTCTCTAGAAGTGTGTTAGGATTTTCTGTGACCATACACAGCTAATTCCATCACCCCTTCTGATCCATACTCAACACAGCTTTTAATGCTGTGATTTGAGTGCCCCTGCCAAAAAGTCCCACCCATAACCTTGCCCTGGGGGAACTGTTTGAGATACCTTGAATATCCCATCCCACCACGCTTGGTATCCATCCCAAAGGCAGGTTTAGGCCCATAATATCATGCCCTCAATGCCTACTGCAAATTAATAAGCAAACTGTTTGACATGAGGGTTAGAAACCCCAGTGCTGGAGTTGGTGATGGAAGGCAAGATTTTCCTATCATCCCTTCAATCCACCCAGTGCTGGGTTTGGGGGGCCAAACAGCCACCAGGTTATTCTGATCTCCATGCAGGCTCAGCAGCCTAGGGAAGCAGAGATGCTGGTGACATGGCAGGGAGAGGAGGTGGTTTTGATGGCTGGCCTCAGGGCACAGAGGCCAGCCCCAGGTTTATCCTCTCTCTGTGGGTCCAGTCTGGGAGCAATTGATCCTTAAAATGATTGCATTCAGCTTTGAAAAAGACTTGCGTTGTATAACTAACTAAAATCATTATGTATCTGAAAAATGAGGACCCTGCCTCAGAAATAAAGTTGGGTTAATTTGGCTTGGCTTTGGTAGTTCTCTGGGCTGAATCAGCTCCTCACCCTCCTTGCTGCTAACGGTGTGGCTGAGACAGACCACGGGAGATGGACCTTGGAAAGATGTGCTGTATCTCCTAAAAGATGCACTGCTGTTTTAATAGCCTCCTGCTGCAGTCCCTCTGCGTGCAAACTGTTGGGCTCGCACATTATCACACACAAGCACTGCATTTTGCAAACATATTTGCGATTACAGCAGACAGGAAGAGATTAAGTGAGTGCTATAAAATTAACCTCTGCATCATTCAAAAGAAACAAAAGCAAAAAATAACAGGGCAATCGGATGCTGTTATGAGCAGGATATGCTCAAAATGGCCTCTACGTCCCATTACAAATACTTAGAAGCTGCAGTCTTTCCACTGCAGTGAGATTTTTAAGTGGTTTAATGGACATAAGGAGTTCAGAGCTGATAATGCCACTTCCAACCTTATCCTTTCACTGCATGAAAATAGGTAGTAGCTATTGACTGGTGTAAATTGGCTACTTTTAAAGCTGTATTTGCTGGCTTAGATGTGCTAAGAGTCTCTTTACAGAGTTTTCAGGGCCTGAATGTAATGTGTGTTTTTAAGAAGGGCATATATTTAGTTTCTTCAACAGAGGACTGGTTCCAGTGTGTGCCTGGCATGCTGGAGAGCTGGCCGAGGAGCAGGGACCTTCTGTGGTTATGTTTAACGTCCTGAGCCCTAGGAGAAAAAAAACAGGGCTGCCACAGGGTGGTGGGCAGTCTAAATCGACCTCTCACTTTGTCTTTTCTTTCCCTTTCAGGACAAGTTTTTCATGATGTCAATCAAAAAGGAAGGTGCCCACAAGAAATGGGCTGCCCTGAAGGAGAAACTCGGGCCCCAGGAGACCGACCAGTCAGAGGCCAACCTGGAAAATGCGGAGCCAGAGCTGTGCATCCGTCTCCTGCAAATGCCGTCAGTGGTGAACTACTCCGGGCTGAAGAAGCGGCTGGAGAACAGCGACGATGCTTGGATGGTCCAGTTCCTGGAGCTATGTGGGCTGGACCTCCTCCTGGAGGCCCTGGACAGGCTGTCTGGGAGAGGGGTGGCCAGGATTTCTGATGCCTTGCTTCAGCTCACCTGCATTAACTGTGTGCGAGCGGTCATGAACTCCCACAAAGGCATTGAGTACATCGTGAGCAATGAGGGCTACGTCAGAAAACTCTTCCAAGGTGAGGAAATGTCTTCCTGCTTCACCCATCACACGCAGTGTGGAGGGGGGCTTTGCTGGTGCTTGTCCTCCTGTCCTGCACCAGGCTTCTTGGCAGTTGTTGATTGCATCTGATGAGTGACAGAGATCATTTTCCTCTTTAAAATAAGACTGCTCTGAAGTGACATTACCTTTGCCAATCAATGTAATTTAGCTGGGCTCGTTTCCACACCAATGTCCTCATAGTGCATCAAAAGGTGGGGATAAACTCTGCCTTAGCTGTACATTGGCATAAGAAGTCCATGACCCAGCTTCTCAGCAGACATTTGCTATTTTAGTCATTGTGAGTCCCAAGAGAAGGAGAGGAATAAAAAGCTTGGAGACTGGTAGCCTTTGGAGAGATGGGAGGGTGGAATGGTTTTGACTCAAGAGAGCCAATTCTCTGTGCTGCTTAGTCTTTTCCTTCTAGGAAGTGGCAGATAGCTCCATTTGCTTTCTCCTGCCATTCACTTGGCTCCTCATTAGGTCAGAAACTCATTGGGGCATCTCCTAGGACTTGCTTGTAGAGCACTTAATGACAGTGGGGCTGGGAGTATAACTTCTGTGCTGCTCCGCGGAGCTGAGATCACAGCTGCGCCTGGAAACCTTTATTAATAGCTCTTCCAAATGCATTTAATCTGAAAGCTGGCTTGCTCCCCTCTACAGTTTTAAAGTCCTCTGTCTTTCCCTCAGCCCTGTATTTTCTTAACCAGCATGAAATACAGAACTGGCATTTTTGTACTGTGCAAGACAGGGGGACACCCTGGGCTTTTCAGCAGTCTAGCATCTTTGTGCACTACAAAGGAAAATAAAATAATCTAATCCACTCCCTCCCACCTCCCAGGACTCACAAAGAGTGTAATGGAAGAAAGGGAAATACAAGAGGACTGGTGAGAACAATTGGTTTATTTGAAATGCAGATTGGGCGCTTCTGCACTAAAAATAAGACTCATTAATTGGGGAAAATGGTTCATCTGCTGTTCTAGAAAACACTCATAACTGAAAACTGGAAATAAAATGTGTGACTGCAAGTGCTGAGATCTTGGCTGCTGTTTTAGCACTTCCACTGGCACTAGGAGGAAGTGAACAGCTACAAGGAGCACCAAAATGACAATAGGGTACTTGAACTAGCATTTACTGTTCCAACTAGAGGTTACTACTACATACTGCTGTTGAGATCAGGCATCTGTAAATTGGGATATTTTTCTTCCCATCTTCCATCTATTGGCTGTGTTCCTTCAGTCTTTTTTCTACCACTGGCCACAAGCCACACAGCAGAAGACAGTGAGATTCAGAATACTACCGTGCTATTATAAAGCCTTTTTTGTTTTGTGTTTTTTTTTTTTTTCCTCCAGCACTTGACACAACTAATGTCATGGTGAAAAAGCAAGTATTTGAGCTCCTGGCTGCACTGTGCATTTACTCATCAGATGGCCACACTTTGGCTTTGGATGCCCTGGACCATTACAAGGCAAGTCTTGAGCTGCAGTAGGAGGTACTCTGCTCTGCTCTGACCCATGCAGGCAAGTCCATGTACCTCAGAAAAGGACTGGGAATGAATGTCATTTTGCATCATTTTGGTAAGAGAGGCAGGGATTCATGAGGTGAAATCTGGAGGAATTTTGGCCTGATCCCCAGAAGACCACAGGGCTGCTCGACAACTTCTCTCTAGGCAGATGACTTCCAACAGAAAGTTATTTTTCAGCATGAAAAAAGCACTACCAGATTAGCAATTAGATAGTGCCACATCCAGCAGTTTCACTGGCCACAAGTCTAGTTAGCAAAAAGCATAAAAGGATGCAGGAGGAGTTTCACAGACTTCTTCTGCTGACCTTACCCTGCTCAGTGATGGGAGTGCTGCTTTTACCTATATCTTCCTGTCTTGTACTCAGCAGCGTAAATTGAGAGAGGTTTTAAGATGCTAATTCTATTTGAGAGCCTGCATTAAAGAGGCAGACGTTTCTGAACTGTCTGAGCAGAAATGTTGCTTGTGTTATTAACAGAGTGTGAAGAACCAGCAGTATCGATTCAGTGTCATAATGAATGAGCTCTCCAACACGGATAATGTGCCGTATATGGTGACACTGCTGAGTGCTATCAATGCCATCATACTGGGGAAAGAAGACCTAAGAACAAGAACACAAATACGAAACGAGTTCATAGGTAAGGATATTTGTTGCACCAAGTTTTTTCAGAAAAAAATCAGTTGCTAAGCACAGGGCAGTTCTATGGCTTTATTTTCAGGCGATCCATAAGGTGATTAAAGAGAGCTAGGGAGGAAAACTGCAAATATTAAAGCCAGACTTTTTTTTTTTCTGTCTGTTCTCTATTCCCTTCAGCAACCTTTCTTTAGTCAAGAGAAGGGGACATTGGACTACACAGTTCATCTGACTTATTTTAGATGTTTGATTTTGAGTGAGATGAATTGTGTCCCAGATGTGTCCCTCCGTAACTCTGGCTCACTCAGCTGCAGATGTGTGTGCTGCAGGCCTCTTCATTTGTCGAATGAACCTACCTGGTTTGGCAGATCCATCTTAAGATATTTTCACTTTTTATCACTGCAGAAAGTTTATGAGAATAACATTATATAAAGATCATAATAGATCAGTGCCAAGTAGGTCCTAATGCCAATATATATGTATTTTTTGTTCTCCCAGGGCTTCAGCTGTTGGATATTTTAGACAAGCTAAGGTAAGGATCACTGCTTAAATTTTCATTTACAAATGAGCTTTACAGCAACATAGCTATGGAAACTGTGAAACGTGCCCACGTGGAGTGGACCACACATTACATGGGAACAAAGACATTAGGCCAATGTTAAAGCTCTCTCATCAACCACAGTGTCGTGGGGACTGCTGTTCCAGGTAGCATTGGCAGAGGCTCTGGGCACAGATGGAGCACGGCTCAGAGCTGCATTTCAGACTGAACCTGAAGTGATGTTGTGGGCTCACTCAGCATTTGTTGTCTTGCTCTCTTACTGATGGTGTTTGTCCCAGAGCATCCAGCTAAAACATTTTTCTAATGTATATTTGGAAATACCTGTCTTCACAGGTATTAATTTTAAAATGATGTTCTGTCAGAAGCACCCAGGATAAATCCTAGAATGCTTATATATGAGTTGCAGTTATCAGTGTAATTGGAATTGCTCCATCCAAATCCTTTAAAATGAGGGAAGAGAAGGCCTGTCGACACTGCCAACTAGCAAGAGTAGAGCTCCCACACTGAGTCTCTCAATAGTGCTGAAAACCTTGCCTTTAGGGTGTTGTATTTTTTTTAATCAAGTTTCAAGCAGCATATAAGGAAGTTTTTCAAGCAGAATATCACTGGAATATTTTCAGTTTGTCTTGACTTTAAAAAATAAAAGAAGGTGGCAGCCTGCTTTCAAAAATGTGTAAATGACACTCTGCTGTTATAGCTCCAAGGAGAAGTCCATACAAAGCATACCCTGGGCCAGATTATGCCATGAAAAGTCCTATTCATTTCCATATGTTGACTGTAGAAAGAGATACATTGAGTTCAGGAGAGGATACACTGGTGGCATTTGATCCTTTATCAATAAGGTAGCGTTGGGTACTTTTCAGCGTGAACTGGATGAGTGAGAGAGCCAAAGAGATAAAAGCCATTTAAGTAAAGATACTTATCTGAAAATCAGCGAGGAGCTCTCCAGTGAAAATGAGTGCTGTAATATTGCAGAGACATAGAGGAGGAGGATCTGCTTATCCAGTGTGATACATTTGAGGAGTTCAAGATAGAAGATGATGAGGAATTATTGAAGATATGTGATGGAATAAACATGAACGATCACCATGAGGTCTTTTCATCTCTCTTCAATAAAGTAAGTAGGCCCTCATGCGGGTTGCACAGCCATGCCATGGCAGAGTTAACAGACTTTGCTTCAAACCAGCCTGGTTCACAGCCTTGCTGTGATTGAAAGCTGCCGTGTCTTCCAGGTGAGCCGCTCTCCAGTCTCCATCCAGCTGCTGTCCATTCTCCAGAGCTTGCTCCACTTGGAACCGTCTCATCACTCCAACCTCCTGCTGTGGGAGTCCTTGGATGCAGTAGTGAACAGAGCCCTTTTGCTTGCAAATGACAGTAAGAAAGACATACATCCAGCCTCGTAGTCAGTCTTTTTTTCCCCTTATCCCACCCAGTGCCCACAAAAGTCCTTCCCTGCAAAGGAAGCAGGGACAAAACTACACCAGCTGTATAGGGTCAAGTCATAACATGAAGCCCCAGCCATGCAGATGCCAGCGAGAGCTGGCCATGTTTATCAGTGGGCTTGGGAGCCATCATCTTGCTGATGGTTAAATCCTGGTGTTGCATTGAGCTTTGGGTTGTGGGAGTCAGGGGGAATCTATTTTCATTGTCATCCTGCCTCTGGTGCTGGCTAGCCTTGCTGGCAGGCATGCTCAAAGCAGTGTGTATGGGCCAGAACCATGGGAAGGAAATTGCCTGGAAGTTAAAAGTGCAATTGGGTAAAGTGACTCAAGGGAGTGGGTTTTGTAGCTCCAGGTTTGCTAACTGTGGGAGCTGAATAGCACGAACAAACCATGGGGCCCCATCCCCTTCTCTGACCCTGACCCATTTCTCTAGTCCAAGGAAACACAGTGGAAGAAGTCATTGAGAGGCTGTTATCTGTCAAGAAACAACCAAACAAGCAAAAGAGAGCTGAAAACCGTCTTTCTGGGAATGTGAACAGAGGCATCCATACCGAAGTAGAACTAGAACCATGCGCAAGTGCAGTTCAGAGCCTGGTGGGATCAGCAAACCCCTCCAAGGCACCAGCACCTCCCTCAGGGCCTCCTGCCAATGAAGAGAAGATCTCATCCTGCCAGCTCTCAGCCTGTTCCGCTTTACCACAGACGTCTAACCCACCACCCAACGCTGCTCCTGCCCCACCACCTCCACCCCCACCACCTCCACCCCTGCCCTCTGGCATGGCAGCTGTGCCCCCCACATCCCCCATGATGAATACGCCTCCAGCCCCTCCACTCCCTGGCATCCCTCCTCCCCCAGTGCCCAACATGGGGGGCATTCCTCCACCTCCACCTCCTTTGCCTGGCTTGGGAGGCATCTCTCCACCACCTCCATTGCCTGTCATAGGGGGCATCCCTCCACCACCACCCCCACTGCCTGGTATGGGGGGCATCCCTCCTCCACCCCCATTGCCTGGTATGGGCGGCATCCCTCCACCACCACCATTGCCCTGCATAGGGGGCATCCCTCCTCCTCCACCATTGCCTGGCATGGGGGGCATTCCTCCTCCACCCCCATTGCCCGGCATGGGGGGCATCCCTCCACCACCACCACTGCCTGGCATGGGGGGCATCCCTCCACCGCCACCCCTCCTGCCCGGCATGGCAGGAGAACATATAGAAGCCGTCGTGGCCTCTCAATTTGGCTACCCTCTTGGCTCAGCCAGGCCTCCCCGCAAGATGGTGAAGACGCCAACATTGAAGATGAAGAAGCTGAACTGGCAGAAGCTGCCCTCCAACGTGGTGAGAGGTGGGTGCTTCTGGCATAAAGGTACTGCTACTTTGTGGGTGATCCAAGGGAAAACCCGCTATTTCTGAGGTTGTCAGATCTGGTTGACTCCATTTAGATACAGAACTTCCCTGATTTCCAGTGCATCCCACCTTCAGAGCTTAAATAAATAAAAGCAGGATGAAGCCACTAATATATAAAAACCATTCCAACTAAATCAGTAGTTTTGAATAGCTTGTTTATAAATAAAATAATTTGAAATTAAAAAAAGGGGGGAGGATGAGAAGATTCGTCTAATACACCTTGGCATGCCTTATGCTTGAATTCTCAACAGGCTCTGATCTGGGTATATAAAAGTCATAAGTAAGAGTACAGGTCAGGATCAGTTCACAGTTCAAGAAGGACATTGAAAAAGTTGGAGAGACATGAGAAATATTGACTTGTTTCTTGATTTTTGGGTCACATTTCCCTCTCCTAATGGATCCAAAACGGAGCATGAAATGTGAGAAGCAGCAAGGACAGGTGAGGTCAGTTTTGGCCTAGTCAAGCAAGCCATCTGGTGCATGGAAATTGGCATAGGTGAAGTCTAAATAAGGCACGGTTTTGATCACAAGGACATTTATTTGTTGGGATTATTTCAGAAAAGATTTCTACAGCCAAGTTCAGGTGATTTTTTTTTGAAAAAAAAGATGTTTAAGAAAGTGCAGTGGGGGTTAATTCAAGTAGGCCTATAGCCAGCATTAACACAAGGAGATGATTAGAGAACCAAAATATGTCTCTTGTTTCATTCACCTTCTGAGGAGTTTCCCATCTAGCAACTTACATTGACCCAAAAGCCCGAAGCTCTCAGCTGTCTCTGTAGCCAGTCTGAATACCTTGTGTTGTGTTTTTTTTTTTTTACAGAAAGTCACTCAATGTGGGCTTCAGTCAGCAGCAGCAGTGAGGAAACTATAGAGCCCAATTATACAAGCATAGAGCAGCTGTTTTGCTTTCCACAGCCAACCCCCAAGGAGAAAACGGCTGCACCGGTGAAAGCAGAACCGAAGGAGGTGAGGGGGTCACTCGTTCTTTCGAGTAAAGATCACTGCAGACAGCTCACCTAATATGAGATATCTTCTTTTTCTTTAATGAAGATCACATTTTTGGACTCCAAGAAAAGTCTCAATTTGAACATATTTTTGAAGCAATTTAAATGGTAAGATATGGCCAATTTTCATGACAGTTGACAAAACTTTGAGCAGGTTTTGTGTAGTATTTGTAAGGTCCTCAAGAAATCTATTTTAGCAAATGTGTTTTTGTGGCCCATGTTACTAAAATATCTGAATATTTCCCACTTTGCCATATACTCTCTTTAAAGTACTGGGTTTGGGAGTTTAGTTGAGTTTTTGCATACAGCATTCTTGTAAGTTGGAAACAGCATTTGTGTCTCCTTGTTACAGGTAAAGTTATGGCATATACTCTTAGGGTGACTTAGGCTGTGGGACACCTCTAGAGGTCAAACTTCCTCAAAGCAGGGAGAGAAAATTAAGGGAAATTAGAAATTATTTTTTTTAAGGTAGTCGCATACCCAGAAGTAGACATCTGAGTTGCAAGATTGACCTTTTTGGTCATTTTACTAGGGCCAGAAACAAAATTTGGGGCATAGTGAGTATTTGAACCTGGATCTACCAGGTCCCAATTCTGAGTTAATCACTGGGAGGTACCTTTCCTTTTGGATTACAGTGGCCCTCACTAGGGAAAGCACAGCCACTTACACGGGTATATGCCTCGGTAGTGTGTGATTGTGGAAGAAGAGCTTCGACTGCTTACTCTGCTTGTCCTCCCTGCAGCTCCAATGAAGAGGTGGCTGCCATGGTCCAGAACGGGGACCGGACCAAGTTTGATGTTGAGGTCCTGAAGCAGTTGCTGAAGCTGCTGCCTGAAAAGCATGAGGTCAGAAGGGAAAAGTGATACCCTTAATTCACAGAGCTGACTGGGCAGTGGAGTCCTACAGTTTTTGTTCTTTATTTCTCATTAGATAGAAAACTTGAAGGCCTTCAAAGAAGAGAAATCAAAGCTAGCAAATGCAGATCAGTTTTATCTTCTCCTCCTTCAGATTCCCAGGTAAGGATGGTGATCATGAACTTCAAACCAATCTTTTTTTGGGTTTTTCTATGGGAAATTTAAGTTTCTATATAGGAGTCTCACAGACAGATATTATCGGATACAGCTGATGGATCCCCCCTTCTGCCTTAGCCATCCTTTCCCCCTTACCTTGGATGAAAGGCTATTGCTGCACCAGCACGTTTTGTCCCTCTGAAGCAGCAGAATCTGGACCAGACCCAGAGTCAGAGCTGCTGAAGGAGGCCATGTAACTTACTGAAAGGCACTTGGGAAGCCCAGTACAATGCCAGGAAGGGAGAACCCATATCTCACACCATGGTCAGTCTTCCCATTGATGATCTCAGTGCATCAGCAGAAACTACATCCCCACATGGCCAAGGACAGGTCGCAGTGGAGAGTGGCAGCCCTCCACCACCCACCACAAGCACTGGTTTGATATGGACGTGGTTGGCAGCATTGCAGGGTCGCCAGGCTTAGTGGTGATGTTGGAAGAGGGCTGCTGCATGGGCTAAGACTGTGGTGCCTTTAAGCTTCTAATCCATCTCCATCCCTAGCTACCAGCTGCGGATTGAATGTATGCTGATCTGTGAGGAGACCACTGTTGTGCTGGACATGATTCAGCCAAAAGCTGGAGCCATCCGGAGAGCCTGCGAAGGTAAATGACTTGGCCTCAATTCTGGCTCTTATTTAAGGCGATAAACTGTAAAGTGAAGCTTGTCAGACCTTCCAGAGGGACTGAAATTAAACAGCAGAATTACAGCTAATTCATCAGCATTATTTGCCACATTAAGATCTCCACACAGCAGTTTTCTCTGCTTCCAGAAAAGCTTAACCCCAAACTTCCCGCAGAAAGTACCACTTCTGTATTTTTTCCCTTGCCTACAAACATAACCAGAAGAGAAAGTTTATTTTGTGTTCTTAATTGCTGATGCCTAATTTTGTGAATATGTGGAGGAATTATGCAGTAAGTCTCTGCTTCCTGTGGGAGAAACCTCAGGTCCCACTCTGGGGAAAGCACTTCTCAGCGCTGTCAAGTACCTCCTGTCCTAAAGAGCCAGTTCCTGCCGGGGGTTTCTCCAGCTGGAATTACAGCTGCCTGCTGTGATAAACTGAAGTTCCTCATAAAAAGTTTCTTCCTTGCAGTCCACTTGTCCTTTTAAAGCTGTTCCTGCCTCAGCGCTGAGTGCTTCAGAGAGCACACCGCTGCAGCACAAGGACAGGGACTGTACCCTTTACGCCCCGATAATCACCTCCACCATGCGAGACCAAGAACAGGGGGAGTGTGTCTGGCTTTGCAGCTGGCAGATAGTTGCAGCCCTGTCAGAACTGGCTTCACTGCACAGCTGAATGGAGTCTGTAAGATTAAAATCACAGCCCACTTACCCTCGCCCACACCAGGTTAAATCTGGGTACTTCCACAGAAGACAGCGAGTGAGAAGAGTCTGGCTCCACATTATTTTCTATTAAGAATAAGAGACCAGATGTAAAGAAAGAAAGAAATATAAGTAAGCAAAAACTTATTGAGCCCTGCTAGTGCGATGGGTTCTATTTAGAATCAGCTTCTCTGTGGGATGGGCCTTTGGGCTGCACACCTGAAAAATCAGATTTGGTTTGAAGGAATTTAGGATTCCAGTGGTTATCCAATTTAGAAAATATTACGGTTTAAAAGGAGTTTTTGCTTAAAAGCCATTTATGTTTTTCAGATCTTCTGAACAGTCATCGCCTGCCTCTCTTCTGTCAACTGATTCTCAAAGTTGGAAACTTTCTGAACTACGTAAGGACTTGGTTTGGCTTGTCCTGCACCCAGTCATTAGAATATATGGATGATCTTCATATTTAGGGCTGTAATTTGGATGGACACAAGAGTTACATCTGCCTTCTTTTTATCTTGTAGGGAAGCCACACGGGTGACGCTGATGGGTTTAAAATCAGCACTTTACTCAAACTAACAGAAACCAAAGCCAACCAAACCCGCATTACGCTGCTCCACCATATTCTGGAGGTACCACTGCCAAGTTCTGGGCAATAGAGAAGGGGGAAGGCTTTTATTATGGTTGAACCATCTCTCCTACTCTAGTTTCAGTTAACATAACACGTTCTTACTCATATCCTCCTCAGCTAGCTGTGGTGTTGCAAGTTAAAAGTGTTGGTTCACTTAGGCTGGTGGAGGCTGCTTGTGGGCACTACTTGGCTCTCAGGGAACTCCTTTTAAGAACTGTTGTCCTGCTTTCCTCCAGCATCTTTACCCACAATTGCTGGAACTTCCTTTTTTCATATTTGTGCAATCTCCGCACATGATCAGCTGCAAACTGCTGGTCTATACCCATTCATCCCTTCTGCCTTTTCATGGCCTCTCCTTTTTCCACCAGGCTATGCTTGAGCTTTTCATACTTCCAAGTCTCCATGGCTTTCTTATTTCTTATATTGCTGTTTTTTGTTATTTTTTTTCTTTTTTCTCCATGCTTTGCCCTGCCATGAGGCAGACCTCAAAGTCTCTCAGTTCCAGTTATGTATAGTTAAGCCCATCTTTAGTTCACGGTAGCTTCAGCAAGCACAGCCATGAAAGAAATTAGGCAAATAAGATTCAAGCCCTTTTAATGCCCTCCTGGGACTGTTTGAAGTATCAGACTGCATCAAACCACAGTCCTTCCTCCTCCCACGGACAATAGTAAGCGTCTCAGAAGAGGGTAAAAGAAATTCCCTGTAAGATAAGGCTCAGCAGTGGGTCAGCTTTGCTTTGAACCATAAGCACTTCTAAACATTCAGCTCTCTATGCTTGTATAGCCTAGGAGCAATCGCTTTGCTCTCTGAACATGCAGTCATGTTTTGAATCCTTCTCTGGCTCTGCAAGGCAAAGCAGACTGCAGAAAAGGGGCCAGCAGCAGGATCTAGCGCAGTCATCCTTCCTGAGCAGCTCTGCCCATTGCTCTTTCCTTCCAGCTTCCTTTCCCAGCTTGTGCCACACAGTAAATAACACTTATTTCTCTTTTCTGCTTCAGGAAGTAGAAAACAGCCACACAGACCTACTGGAACTGCCAGAAGATCTTGAATACGTTTCAAAAGCAGCAGGGTAAAATTGCGTGTCACTTCCTTCAAATTAAAAATAAAAATAAATCCCATGCACATCAACAATGTACCAGAAATTAGGACACACACAGCTGGTGCAGCATATTAACAAGATGGCATCTTACTTAGTTTTTACCAGAAGATTTGGTTGATGAATGCTGAAACCCCTTCAATATATGATAGCTCTACTACAGCTGGCACCACTTAGGGCTGCCATTTGCAGCACATTGAATTAATACTGCCTCACCCAAAATCTTCACTGCATTTGCAGTAACATGAGCTTCGGAAGGCCAACTACTCAGAAGCATTTCTGAAATGCTTTTAACCAGAGAAAGTGAACTAATGCTGAGCACTGAGGGGTGGAAATAGTCCTTTGAATGGGTGGATTTGTGGGGCATTTATCTACTCAGTACATAAATTTGTATGTTTATGTACTTTATGTACTACTTTAGGTAGACTTGGGCACCTTTCCATAAGTGCCATGAAGGAAGGCTGTTTTTCATGAGATCAGACTACACGGAGTTCAGGGCTCAGGTTTCAGTTCATCAAAGTGGGAAGCAGCAGGAAAACCAACCCACCAGCTCAGACTTGCCCTCTCTTTGGTCAGCACAGGATACCATAATGTGAATTAACATGGGGCATCTATGTGATTTCAGAATTAATCTTGATATTATACGCTCTGAGTCCAGTACCAATCTAAAGAAGTTGCTGGAGCTTCAACGAAAGGTCTCATCATCAAATGACGATGTGAAACAACAGTATGAGAAGCCTATCCAGGTTGGTAATGGAGTTCCCTTATATTTTCCACCTTACACACACAAAGCCAGCATGCTGCACTGGAGGCTCAGCTGAGGAGGTTCACAAGATGGTGAAAAATATTGCCACAAAACACATTCTCAGATTTGAAAGTAGGCTGTGATGTCACAAAACCCACTGCTGTTTGTTTGCCACTTCTACCGCAAACCATGATTATTCTCAAAGCCCCTGCCCTGGTGGTTCTCTCTCTGCCCTGTAAAGCCTCACTATGTCTGAGTCATGTTCTTTCTCTGGGTGGATCACCAAAGTAATCCCCTTCTCTTGGGATTAGGCATTGCATTGAGCTTCCTTGTCTTGCTAAAGCTATCCCCATAAACTGGCACAACACAGTCAACAAGAGCAAAGACCATGGACAATTCCCTGTTTGTTCCTGCTTCAAAAGCTCTGCTACAGTTAAACACCAAGGCCCCAAAGCTCTGCTGCACTTCTTATGTTGACATCCTTTTGCTTTAAGTGTGCTTCACTTGTTATGTTTTTCTGTGAACATTAAATAATTTCAGGATAGCATTGATGCCGCCAGAAAGCTGGAAGAAGAATTTGAAACCATCGACAGGAAAAGAGAAGAGCTTGCAAATTATCTTTGTGAAGACCCAAGCAAGTTGTCCCTAGAGGACATATTTAACACCATGAAGACCTTCAGAGATCTCTTCATTCGAGCCCTGAAGGTCAGTGACTGTGCTCATGATGCTGAGCAGCCCTTGTAGTGGTGCATGCCTCTGCTCCAACAGAGTGGTGGGACAGGCACAGTGTTTGGGATGGACAGTGCTGGTTATGGGCCCCTTCTTTTAGCATTTGGCACGAGGTCATCTGGTGAATGCATGCCTGATCCCTGCTCCGTTTTGTCCTCATGTAGTGCTGGTTCTCCTGGCCTGACCCAAACATTGGTGACGTGGGATTTTGGTGTAACTTTAGCTGCAGATACACAAAGATATTTTGGAGTCAAGTGCATACGTTTTAGAAGAATGGGCTTATGAAACCTAATCCTTCTCACACTGATAGCTGTGTTAAGCAAATCACTGCTGCCACTTCTGTGGGGACTGGGCGAAGTCCTGCACAAATCAGCAGTCTCCCTTTCACTCTCTTGGCAAGACAGCCCTTAACCCCCAAACCCATTTTATTTATTGCAGAGGATTTCTCTTCCTCCTTTGCGACCATCTGCAGAGCATCTTTCTCTTCATTGGCTTTCCTAGCAGATATTTAGCCAAACTTCTCATGCCCCTGTTACCTAACTGCAGGAAAACAAGGACAGAAAGGAGCAAGCTGCAAAAGCAGAGAAGAGGAAGAAACAGCTGGAAGAAGAAGAGGGGAAGAGACAGAAGGGAGAAAATGGAAAAGTCAGTGAGTATCTGACAGGGCTTCATAAAACAGAGATGCGCTTGCACTCCCAAATTGACTGGAGAGCTGGTAAGAGCTCTTTGCTGGTCCAGCTTTAATGACCAGTAGTGGTCATTTATTTTGTGGGTTTCCAAGTGCTGGCTGACTAAAGGCTTTTAGGTGTCTTATTAGCCATAGCTAAAAACTGACTTCACAGTTGCAGCTGGGCAGAGAAGTTAATTTTAGGTTTGCTAACTGAACAGCAGGGGAAAGAAAACATCAAATTGAAACATTTCAGTTATTTCAAATTTTATAGTTTCTAAATAAAAATTTTGAATCCTAAATCTAACAGATATTTGACCTTCCCCCTTTCCCCAAATCCTCACATGCAGTTGAATAGTCTCACCCCAGTTTAGCACAGGCTGCAGACATCCCAAAAGTCTTGCAGGTAACGTAAACCTGCCTTTTGTGGATGAAAATAAAAGGCATATCTGAAAAGTACAATTGGACTGAAGCTAAGAGGAAAGAAAAATCAAGATCTCTTTCCTTCCGTTCAAACAAATAAAAAACCCCTACTAACAGGGGTAGCAAACAGGAGGCATTTTAAGGTCTTAACAACAGCCATCAGCAGGCACGGAGCCTGTAGCATGCAGACTTTGGGGTAGACCCTTTGACTTCACCAAGCTGCAGCAGGTGCTGTGCCATGCCCTGAGCTTTGGTAAGGGACAGAGCCCAGGAGTCCTCTGGGTCTTCTGAGCCCTGGAGGCTGGTCTTGGTTCTTCCTGCAGGACCCATGGCCCCATCTCATGAGTGGAGGGTTGGGGTCAGAGAAGGGTACAGAGCACAGGCTGTTCCCACGCCTGGCATCAGTACCTTGCTTTTGCCTGGCTTGCACCAGGTACCAGCCCCAAATGACAGCACCACTGTGCCTGCCCATGTGTGTCCTTTTGTCCCTTCTCATGGGCAGATTTAACACCTGTCTCTCTCTATCCCAGTTAAGAAGGGGGTGGTGAAGCAGGAGGAGGTGTGCGTCATTGATGCGCTGCTGGCTGACATAAGGAAAGGGTTCACACTGAGAAAGACGAAGAACAGACACGAGTTGGATGCACCTCCTAAAACCTTGCCTGTGGAGAGCCCAGAGGAGAACCAGGCTGGTAAGGACACAGACCTGACAATCTTACAGTACCTGCAGCTGTTTCCATCTGCCTCTGAGCCTGAGCCAAGCACACAAGTGAGAAGCTTTCCAGCATTTGAGGTATCTTATCTAAGGCCAGTGCTGTGGGGAAGAGGAGGAGATTGCCCTGAAACTCTGCCCCTGAATCAGCAGTGATTCAGGACAACGTGGCCTTGTGCCTGCACTGATAAACCCTCTGAGAGTCACAGCCACAGTGCCATGCTGCTGGGGCATTGGTGTCACCTCCACACAAGTGCCCCCCCGTGTCACCAAGTCTCATTAGCACAACTTGTCACTGCCTTAGAGACTGGTGAACTCCATCTCAGTCGACATTTGGGAGTCTAAAGCAACCCTTAAAATAGGACTAGAACGACCTATATCTGCAGAAGAACCCAAGTCTTTGGGGTGTTTTTTAGGAGACAGGCCATGGTTTTATGGAAGGGAGGTCAAAGGAAGCAGCTTATCCTTGGCTGTAGGACAAATTGGTTCTGGCTATGTATGGCTACTTTAGGGGCAGTGCACCCTCTACAGGCAGCTGTGAGCTTGTAGCCTCCCCGAGTGCCAGAGACACCTTGTCTGATCTCAGCTACAGTTCTGCACGTGTGGCTGATCTCATGCTTTTTGTTTAAAGGGAAGAGCATTAAGGATCCACAAGCAGGAGGAATGCAGATCGATGATAAGGCCAAGCAGAACAGTGATGGTCATCCCTCAGAAAGCACCCCCACCTCAACCACAGGTCTCCCAGAGATGGGTAAAGATGTTACAGATGCCTCAGCTCCAAACCAGGCATTACCTGAAAACAACACTGGAGTAAATTTGCCACCAGGGTCCCGGACAGAAGGCCACCTGGTGGAAGCTGATGGGACCAGTCAGCCTGAGCAAGGTGCAGAGATGGCAAACCTCCAGCCAAGCACAAAGAGCAGCTCCATTACCTTCTCTTCCACTAACATAGGTGCTGGGATAAAGTTTGTGAGCGGCATTTCAGGCACTACTCTGAGAGAGCAGCTCAATGGGTCTGTCTCAGAGGAGCAGGACAACGAACGCCCAGGGAATGGCTTGGAGAGCTGCAGGCTGGCACAGGAGCAGGACACCCAGCTGAGCCAGGACGGGGTCGAGCCTCCATCTGCTCCCTGTGACAAGGCTCACCAGGCAGAGTCAAAAGAGATGGCAAAGGAGAACGAAGACCCTGGTACAGACTCGCTGTTGGACACCTCCCAAGAGAAGTCCTTCTCGGAGGAGCCAGCCACCGACTCCTCTTGTTCAGCAACACTGCCCCCGGGGCAAAGTCACACAGACAGGGAAAAGCAGAGGACATCTGGAAAACGGAGGAAGAAGAGACACAGCAAAAGCTACTCAGGTAGGCTACATGGCACTTGGGGATTGAGTTAAATTGGGGGAATGGGATGGGGGGCGGGGGCTTACTAGTATATTTGTATAGATCTGCTCCTCCCCAATCCAAGGTCTGATGCTGTCCATAGGAGGTCCCTTGTCCCTATTTTTAACAGAGCTGTTATTTTTATTAACCTGAAAAAAGATGTAAAAAGAAAAACATGAGCATTGTTCATTCTCTTGACATTTATAAGCACTTTATAAAGGGGTAATGATGAATCAATAATTAAAAAGCCCATTACACATATGCAGTAAAGATGGCAATAAGCACATCTGTCAAGTGTGCTAAAGACAGCTACAAGGCACGGTTATGTGCAAACAAGAGCTCCATTAGACTCCAGAGCTGTGATTAAGAGCAGTTAATACTGGGTACTTAATCAGTGATCACTCCCTCTCAACCACTTATAAATGCATAAAGCCAACAACAACAGCACTGCTGTGGTGGCTTTTTTCTCTCCTAAGCCTCCTCACAAGAGCACTTTGCCTGCTGTAACTTGAAAACCTGCCCCAGGTGTACTTGAGGTGGCTCCATGGGTCCAAGTCCCTCAGACGTACAGAGCTGGAGCCACCTTTGGGTGAATACTTGAATCCCAAATTAGAGGCACCTCATAGGGAAGACACTTGGGTCTGTCAGCCTTCAGAAAGATACAATATATTGTGCAAAGCCTGTTTTCTGCTAGATCTCGGGGTCAAGCAGATGGGCAGAACAGTGGTCAAAGCTTCTCTTTATCAGTGTTGAATATTTTTGCTTTTAAGGAAAGTGGAGGCAAAAGAAAAGGAGAGTTTGAATACCCACTGCTGAGAGAGGCGGGGAGGGCTGACCATCTACTGCAGAGGAACTTACCCTTTTAGTGACAGTATGCCCTGGGGCTTTAATTATTTATGTTTCTAACATGCCACTTTCCCCTAGCTAAGAACAAGGCATGAAACAGAAGCGTTTTCCCAGCACAGTGGTTTCCAAACTTGCCTCCCAGGAGGCAGCAGGAGGAGCTGCAGCAAAGGGAGCTCCCAGCCATCGCCATGCTTTCATAGTGTCTGTTATGAGTATTTCTAGCTTAAGACATTAATCCCCCACAAAAGCCATAGGCATCTAGAGATGGCATCCTAGGAACCTCTCTGCTACTAGACAATGTTTTCATTTGCCTTGCTATGATCAGATATATTTAGTGTGTCTCTTTTGTTTAAAAGCAGAGGTTGAGGCTGATACTGGAGATAATAAAACAAAACTAGGTTGTGTGGTACAATGAGGTATGTAAACTCGCAAAGGCGTTTTTCTGTGAACTAACCCTAGCACTGGGACTTTACAGACCTAATCAGTATTCAGCATATCAGCTAAGCTTTTTGTCTTTGTGTCTAATCACAAATACATTTAAAATAAATTTGCTACTCTGATTTTTACTCTTCAGGGTGTTGATCTTGTGTTGAGTGGAGTCAGTGCTGATCTCCCCACAACGCAGGGTCACATCCCACATGTCTGTCCTCTGTGTCAACAGCAGCCAATCCACCTTTCCCTGCAGATAATTAAAAGTCAGTATTCTAACCAAGTAAATCCAGCTTCATGTGATAAACAGTCCTTGCTTTGATCCCGTAATTTTCTCAAAAATAGTAAAAATGCAATTTCAGTACCTACCTTCTGCAAAGAACAACATTTAGGTTGCTTGTAGGTAGCCACTTTATATAGCACCATGTACATACAGGCCTCTAGAAAAGAATAAAACACTGAACCCAGGGAAAAATTCTCATTGGAACGAGATACCAGCTCCAACTCAAAGCCAAGCTCAATTCCTCATGATACTGCACACAAAGTAGTGCATTGGAGCAAACAGACCGTGCATACTTCTCATGTGCATTCATGCATCTTTCTGGGAGGAGGTAATTTGGCTTTTGTCACTAAAAAAAAGTAACACAGGTAAACCCTATTTCTAACAAAAATGCAAACCAAGTTCCCTGCATCTTTCACTGATACTGTCAGCATAGTTGCTCATCATAAGAAAACTTCAGACTGAGACTTTCATTTGTGAAAGTTTGCCTGTTTTTGTAGCAGGTAGAAAGAAATGCCGGAAAAAAAGGAGCAGTCAAAACATGCCTTGTACTGAAATTGCATAGTTACTCGTTGTCGTTTCCATGCTGATGAGTGTCTCTTATAAACTGAATCAATGATTCCAAATCTCACTCTCTCATTTCTTGAAAGAAATGTGTTTATTCTTCAGCATCCCCTGTGCCTGGGGGGCTGGGAGCCCTGCTCCTGCCCAGCCCAAGGCCCCAGGGGCATGGAACAGAGGAAGCTCTGCGGGATTTCCACATATGGTTACTTTTGTTTCTGCACCTGAAGCATCGCTGCAAACAAGAGAAAATGAGACATATATTGGGGTAGTTACACTCCTGACTATTCCTGCCCACTCCTCTTGTCCCCTTCTGTACTGCACCACTGGATTATATCAAGGGCAAAAGGGAAGTAGCACTGTGAGTTTAAAAGTCCTAATGAAGACTTACAGCAAGAGCAAGAAATAGTAGCAGTGAGGCTTGGGTAAGAAACACAAGAGGACCACTGGTTTTGCTGCACAGGGAGGGCAGCTGAAACCAGGAGCTGTGTAACTCAGATTATGTACCTGTATGTTTTAAACACAGGTACTCCAGCACACAGGCTTAAAAACTTCATATTAAAAAAAAAAAAGGATATGCAGACAGCTTTGTAGTCTCCTTTGAAGATGTAGGAAAGCAATATAGAGGAAGGCATGGAAAACCAGCACCTTTAGGAAGTGACCAAGTCAGGCAACTGTTCAAGTACTTCCTCAAAAGGCCAACAGCAACCACAAGTGCTTGCTGCTGCAAAGGCAGTAGCGAGCAGCACCTTAAAACCTGTAATTTCCCTTTTCCCCTCCTCCCATTGTTATGTCATTTGGCAAGGTTATCAGAAACAAAATCCATTTGCTTCTCTTAGTCTCCAGCTGCAGTGTGTCCTCACCCAAATGCAACTTAAATCTGTGCCTCTTGATATGACAGCCTCAGCAAACCTGAAGTGCTCCCCATCAAGTGATAGGGAAGCCCAGGAAAAGAAATTAAATATTTTTTCCTAGGGTGATCCACCTGATTTTTAACCCTGCCTATATTTGTTCAGATCACCTTCGATCTCTTGGCCCAAATACACAGTCTGTTCAGGTCACAGCACCACTTCTCTTGGTACAGGATATTTCTCTGGCTGACTTGATGGAGCTGGAATTTGCCGGGTTGAAGTGAAGCTGCAGGAATCTTCCTTCTTGTGCAGATCCAGTTGTAGTGATCAAGACTCAGTCTCCTTTTTCCCTAAATCTTCACAGCTTCTGTAACATCAGAGAAAGGGCCTCCCAGGAACAGCCTGTGACTCTATGAAGTAATACTACAGAGCTGTAAAAGGACAGCTGTAATCAGCTATTCAGCTCTTGTCTTTTGACTATAACTTGTTATACAGCAGTTTCTGTATTACCATCATTACTCTTTAAATGTCAGCTTTCACAGACAAAGAGTGGCATCTCATGTTATCTCCATATTCCTGAAGGAAATAGTTTAGCCCATTTCCCATGGGATCAAGGTACTGGTGGTCACCCTGTGTTTGTGTGTGTACTGGTAACATCTGAACTCATTTCCAACCACGTTTGAAAAAGAATTTGAAGAAGGAACATTTTACAAAAACTGACAGTCAGAGGACACTATACGAAGGCCTGGACTCAGAGCCATTTGAGTTTCCTTGTATGGAACCAGAATAGTATAATTAAGCTAATGGTTGTTTTCCTGTATTACATTTTCCTTCATGTTTGTCATTAGAAACTCTTCAGTCCTTGAGTGGGATGGGTGCTTAAAAATGACAGTGCACAGCGCTGTCCTTCTGACAGCCCAAACTCCCTCAAGAAACACCTCTGATCAGATGGGAGCCTGCCTGCAGGTCAGGGAGCATACACGTTTTGCTGCATCATGCTCTGACAAAAATTACATTCGCGCCCTCTGAGTCCCCCTCCTCATGGCCAGGACCCAGCTCTGGTCCCCGTTAGCACCCCCCACACAAGGTGGGAGATCCTTCATCTGCATGAAATGCCACACACAGACTTTGTTTCACAACAGTTTGACAGTGGGGCCCAGCACTAAAGTACTGGACAAAATGTCCTTTGGACAAAACAAGGTGAGTCCCCAGATTCATTAGTTCAACAGTTTAATATCTAGAAGCATATCCACTATTCTGCTTGGAAAATACAAAACTCACATTGTTGGACCAAACCAGTACCTAGCTTAAAAGCAGAGTTGCCCAGACCCTTGAACATCAGTGCCAGTTCTAGAAATATAAGAGAGGCTTTTATCATGTACATAAAGTTTTAGCACGACCAGTTTAAGTTATCCAAGGGACATGAAACCAGTTTCCCTAGACCTCTCTCATTTTCAAGTTGCAAACATTTCTCATCTTCCCCTCCTCCTGCAGGCGTCACGGCAAGGCAGAAGAAATAACGGAGGCCTGGACACATCCTAACTCATCCCCAGAGCACTGCCAGCCGCTCAGAAGCCAGGCTCTGTGTCACTGAAACGCCTCCTGCAGCCACCTCTGCCCTGACCAGATGTCATGCTCCCCCTCAAGCTGCCTTCCACCCTTTGCCCGAAGACCCAACAAGCTGCCCCGGAGACATCAGCACATTCAGCCCGTGCCTTACACGACCTGCGCTGGGCCCTAGCACCTGCAGGGACACGGGCCTGGTCGATGCGCGGCGGTGGGGAAGGCACGGGTCTCTCGGCCTCCATCCCCAAAGCCAAATCCCCTGCCTGCTCTTAGGCCAAACTCCTCTTGATGTGCCAGCTGAGTGTGGCCCAAGAAAGGACTGCATCGTTCAGCCCTCGGAGGAATTTTAAAAATAGCAGTGCCTCGACTAAATGAAGGGTATAAATTCAGCAGTGGCAGTACCCTCACAGGGAGAAGCGTGTTACTCCCCCTTCTCATTGCCTACTGTCAATTTATATTCGACTAGATCCAAAACCCAGATCAGACATATGCATTTGCACTCTCAATCATTTAAAGCAAGGAAAATAAGTTATAGGAACAAAACGAAAAATGCATTTTAGTAAATGTCCATATAAACAGTGTCTGGCTCCCAGATAGTGCTTATGTGCAATGAAGTTGAAGCACATCTGTAGCCTTGCAGTAGTCTTCTCACACACACAGGTACGTGCATAAATTTTCGGAGAATCAGGGCCCAAGCTCCTGTTATTAAAGCAACGGAAAGAGCTTTTTCAGGGTGCTTGGTTAGATGTATTTTAAGCTTATTTAGTAAATCTCCAGGTTTTAATACTGTTGTCAGCTGCTTGCACTCAGAAGCCTTCGCATTCGAGCTGCAGAACATGTGCGTTCATGTTACTTTTGCTTTGAAACTGGGAATGTGCAGTATTGTGTTTTAAAGATTCAGAGCTTTATTTCTTAAGTTTTGTAATAACATTGTATCATAGTTTTGTACATAGCTGTCGATTTAAAATTATCGATGTTTATTGAATTTATGATGTGATAGTGTGCTGAAACATGAATCAAGTGGAAGAGATTGTTACATTTAAGAACTATGCCTTTGTATGGTAACCACTGTGTTTAGACTAATGTTCAGGCTAAAGCTTATTTTGCTTTGCTGAATAGGACTTGTAACATCCTTGTAATACTGAACACTTTGCTGGACTAATTTAGAAGTTACGCCAAGAATTAAATCACTTGTTTATTTTAATCTAAGCATTGTTACTGGAAAACAGTTAACAAAAACAAAGGTGAATTTAGAGTAGATGCATGGGCAGGCTCAGGTCAGGAAGCCCCATGGAGCAGCACAACCGTGTTGCAGCTCAAATCCGGTTCGCGGCTGGCAGAAGCAGGCTGAACTCCTCCACCCTTTCCTGCAAAACTGGATAACCCGCCCCAGCTTTAACTTGCGTGACTGTCACATTTACAGTTCTCTCTTCCCTTCCTCCCCCTTCTAGTCTCAGAGCATGTCACCCATGTCAGTCTTTCTTGCTCTCATTAATCCAATTTCTCTGCTCTCAGATTAGACCCCAGCCTACAAAAATCTGAGTATCAAAGATTTTCTTAGCACCTTTGCAACCTCCAAGTTTCCAGCAGGAGCCTGCAGCCCAGGCTGGCAGTAAGCAGGCAGCCTCCTCCAGCCCCCACCTTGTTGTTTTATCAATAGGGGGGAAAAAAATCACTGATATTCAGGATTTGGGAGCAAACAAGCTTTCTTGGTGTTACTTGGGGAACATTACCTGCTGATACCCCTGGCAGGCTTATTTCTTCAGATATGCAGTATTCATCCACTTCTTCATCTGGGTCTTTCAGCTACCCCCATTTCCACCCAGAGAGAAAAACGTATCACGCAGAGTTTTTATTGCTCTGAATAGAAAGAGAGAGTAATCAAAAGAGGACCTTCAAGGAGAGGGCATTTGGCATTACCTTTCCACTCTCCACAAGATTTTACAGAGAAATTGGTTATTTTGAGCCACTGTTTGTTCTTTGTTCTGTAGTCATCTGTGAAAATTATATTAAATTATCTACACAATCAGATCCCAATAAAAACAGGACAAAGTGCAGCATTTATAATGTATTACTGCAGAGCAGCTCTGCTACCATTACAGTGATTATTTAACAGGGGGATGGAGTCAGAACAGGTCAAAGAAAGATGTTTGACTGGCACTTGCAGTTTTGTTCCAGTTGTGACTTTTAAATAGAGTTCTTGATCCTGAAGATTTTTCTCAGTGTTTGCAAGGCCAAATTAAATGCTGATAAAAGCATTTACTTTTGCAGCCATTTCAGCAGGTCTGTGCTCATTTAAGCCAACGGTAAGTTTGGATCTCAAAAAAAGAATTTGTATGGTATATTGCAGCAACTGGACAGAGTCCATTACCTAAACCAGCCTGTGAATGTTTTACCATTCTAGAAACCACAAGTTTCTAGCTGTCAAATAACTGCATATTCCTTAAATAGGCATTGGCTACATGATGAAAACGAAGCTGTGGAAGAAATCAGCAGAAGTTTTTTCTAAGTACTTCACGTCAGAATTTGGATATGTTAAAGGGGATGGAACTTCAGGGTTTGATTGTTTTTTAATTTCAATACTGAAAATATTTCAAAATTTAGAATAAAAGAAGTCAAAGTACTTGACAAGTCTCCTTTCTTCTATGGGGGTGGGAGGAGCTTATCATTCACCAGAATTTGTCCAACATACAAAGTTCAATATAGAAGCTTTCTGATAATAAAAGCTAGCACTGCAGCATTCCTAGCTCACCCTATCTGTATATGTGGTAGTAGTAACAACCATGACATGTGAGTGAACATGTTAATCATGGGGTTATGTTCACCTAATGCATCCAAAAATGAATACAATCATGAACAAACTGCATCGTGAACCATGTTTTTTTACTCACCCCATGACTAAGGTATGGGCAGGATATGAAAAAGCACTTTGCAAGGTTTAGAGACCTGGTTACAGAGGGTTAAAAACTGGGCAGTGATAGTGATGGGTCAAATCTAGGTCCCTTCTTATTAGTGATTATTTGTAATTATGATGTAGTGACAGTCTTGCAGAATATATATGCCATTGCAAATCCTGTGAACAATAATGTGAGTGCAAATAAAATGATTTCCAACTATTTAATGTAGAGCAGGTACCAGACTTTAAATGCCTGTGGAGAATTTGATCACTGCAAGTTAATCAGCATATTCAGCACTGTAAGTACAACTCACTGTCATCCATGCTGAACCAGCACTTAATTCACATTAAGGACTCTCTAACGCTAGCTTTGCTGTGGCATGAACAACTTCTGCAGGAATTCAGTGTGACAACTCACACATAGCCAGGTGTCAGTAGGAATTAGCAGGACCTCTGCTCTTCCCTAATAGAGACCTTAAGCAGACTCGGCATACATTACTCAAAGTCATGAAGGATCAGTCTGTGACAGTCAGCTCCTATCAAGTCAGTTTAGATAGATTCCCAGCCTGTCAAAGCAGGTTCTTTCCTAGCATCAACAGTCTGCTGATGACACCCACATCACTGTTAGAGTTGGTTTGCCTAGCTCTCGGCATGCAGAACCTGATGTGTTTGTTCAGTACTTAAGCAGCTTCATAGTACATTATCTGCAGTGAGTTCAGTCATGAGTTGGCGACAAGTAATTACCAAATCCAGCAGTCAGAATAGATGGAGAATAGACAGAAAGATTTTGCCCAAAGGAGAAGCTGCAAAAGCAAAAAGAGCAACAGACTTACTACATCTGCTGCTTCTGTGATCATTTGGAACCCACAAGTCTAGTTTGTAATCTAAATGAAGCCCATTATAGCATGATTTTTAAGAGCTATTCTGTAAGGTCAACTGACCTTTCTTATACACTTTGCAATATTTTGTAACCTCCATTCTTCAATGTTTTCATTGCTCAACTAGACAAAACCAGAGCTGATCTGGTCTACAGCGGTGGTAATGATAGTCCTTTGAATGAGAGCATAGACAAATGATGTTCAGTGTAGCCCCAAAAAAGAAATTTGTAAAATTATTGGTTTAGCAAGAACTAGATATGAAAAATACAGTACTTCAGGAAAAGAAAGGAGAAAGAGGAGTCGTCTAGACACCCTTTCAGGTGGTCTATACTGTAATCCTCCTTGGTGAAACAGTGTGACAATGCTTGGAAGGATATACCTCCAAAATAGCATTACATTCACTGTATCAGCAGTTCACAACCTATACTGAATCCCAGACAGTATGGAACAAAGGATTTGTATCTCTAAAATACCAGCATAATTGGAAAGAGTCCAAACAGAACAAAAGAAAGATTTTTGCCCATTCAGTTACTGTCATTGGCTCTACTTTTCTTGCAGAAGTTTGGAGGATAAAGGAGAAACCATTACCTCTAAAAGCCAGGTTCTGTAACACCTACCTGCAAAGGTCTGGATACCTGCAGAGGTCTGGGTGCAGGCCACAATACAACAGCATCTAGATCTATTGACAACTAACATGGTAATGTCTTCTGAACCATGACCTATCCCAAACCTAGCAAACCTCTCAAGGTTAAATTTATTATACCCTGTCAATAATCTCTTCCGATATTAAAGCAACTGCTAAAATTCTTCTTCATTTTGAAAAGTTAATCCCTACTCTCCACCAAGTCCTGTTAATCCTACAATACATCTTCTCACACCTTTCCCACCATTTATATACACCACCACACATTTCCTTGGTTGAAGTGCCTCACTGCCCTGTCACAGAGCACAAGGAGCAGCTCAAGGGTCTTCATAATATCTTCACCCAGTTTTAGTCATCTACAGCTGCTGCCGGCCTGGGCTCCACCTGCAGCAGATCCCAACGCTCCTGCCTTCCTGGCAGCTGCCAAAAAGTGCAGCCAGTTCCCTTAAAGAACTTTTTTTGTTGTTGTTGATTCCATCACTAGGATCAAGCCTAAAAGCATCAAGCACGTAGACTTTGCAGCCATGACCATATTAGTGCCTGAATTTCCCCACCCATAAAACAGTTGCAATAGTATCCCCCGAAACACTTTGAAAACAGTTGATGAAAAACCCAACAAAATAAATAATTTCAATAATAAGCAAATAATATCAGTAACATCAAAACACATTATGTTGTTATAATAGAGTCAAAACGAAAGATAGACTGTAGTTTTCAGAGTGCTATTGTTCCCCTAAGACCTCTCTGAATCCAGACTGCAGAAAACCTCTGAAAATCCTAGGAATGTAGGTGAAAGGAAGAGGATAAATCTTATGATAACAAGAAAATAAATAAACATCGCTTGTTCAATAAAGGATTATGATCTCTGATTTCTTCAACTTCTTATTTTTATTCTTGCAGGAATGGTAAATACCAGGGATAAATCACATCTGTTGAAAAGTCAGCAGTGAAGGGTACCGCGTAACAAACCTCTTAATGCAAGCAGGACCCTGAATCCAAACCACAGCAAGCGTGTCCCATTGGGAGACAGTGAACAATAACTCTGTAGGGCCTTAACTGCATAACTGAGCAATTAGCACTATTCCCATCTGGGTTATACAAACTGTGGTTCAGTTCTATTTTGCAAGCACATCTTCTTGCCTCTAAGATATCTCACACTACAGAAATTGATTCCTGTGCTGTCACTCTTAGCGGTTACCTTAAATGTTTGTAAGGATACTGTTTTTAAACAACTTGAAAAAAAATAAAAATAAACATTTGAGAATATAATACAAAAGAGGAAATACCAGGTTTTCTGAAGCAGTCAATACAATCTCTGCCATCAATATAACAATGACTACTAAATGAATTTATAAATACAAAGAAAATTGAGCCTTACTTGATAACATAGCCCTGTATCAGCCCAAAAGCAATGCAAGAAGTGAGGAAAAAAAAAAAAGAAAAAAAAAAGAGAGAGAGAATGCTTACATAGCCCAAGACATAGAAATAAGATGTTTTGGGGATCTAACTTTAAATCTATATTCCATGCCATCAAAATACAACTCACCTTTCCAGGCTAATGAGAAACATATTTACTTTCTGTGCATCAGTAGGCAGATAAAAACAAAAACATGTACTGTGGCAGACCTCAAATATCAGTAGCTTTTCCAATAAAACAAAAGGTAGAGTAGCAAAGTACTAAAAACAACTTCAAAGTTAATTGCAAATTAATTGATTTCAATTGATCATCAGAGTTGAGCTGGTGCATTAAATCAATCTCCATTCCCTGACTTGCCTAAATGGTGCCAGCAAACTAACTTGTTTTCATGAGCAAGCCAGTCCTTGCTTGGTTGCACTGAGATACGTGCATATATTTACCAGAGGTAGATGTTTGTATTTTTCCCAGAAGAAATTTCATGCAGAGATTTTTCTTAAATATACCCACAAGCTTATTTGAACAGTATCAGTAATTTAAGTTACAGCTATCCTGACGTTATACTGAAGTTCTTATCTTCCTAACAGCATGGAGCTCTCTACGCAGTCTCAAAAGTATAATCTTTGGATGTATATTATTATAAACCTATTTATCTTTCAAAGTATATTAGATGTTTCTTGTGTAATATTTGTATTTTATTAGGTTTAAAAAAAAAAAAACACAACTTTCCTGTACACAAGCCCTGTAGCAATTTAGAAGAGCTATCTGATTAGGCAGGGGAAAAAGAAGAAAAGAAAAAGGAGCTTCATAATTAATAGTGTTTTACCGACTCTTTCAATAGCTTAATTAACATAAATAAGCATCAGAATTTTAACCTGATTATTTCTAATAAGACTTTTTATCAGCTTATTTTACTCCTAATATTTCTAGCAGAAAATAGATTACTCCTCATTAGGTTCTTTCACAATGCCAAATCCCTTTCTTGTCCCACTAAGGTAATTACAAACATCTGTACAAGTTCATCACAAAGACTGGGAGATCCTAACGGGGATACATTAAGTCATTTACATAAATTAAAGTAAGTCTACTTTGCCTTTGGGAATGTGTTAGTGCTTATCTGTGCAAAAAAAAAAAAAAAAAAAAAAAAAGAAAGGCAACTAAAAATTAATTCAAGTAAACAGGAAATATATTTAATATTCATTTTCTATTATACGTCTTCATCTTAGCTATTTTAACTGCTTCCATTTTATATGTAAATAAAGGTTTTATTTAATCTTTAGTGTATTTTAATGTAAGTAATTTCTTACTAAATTATGATTAAAACATGAATCAAAACATTTATGCCTTTCTTTTGCATTGGATCCCCTGGCTCACAATTTTACTGAGGCTGTCATTAGATCTGGACACTGTCATTAGTAAAAACAGCAAGGTTTTAAAGACAAACTATTTCAAATTAGAAAGTGCTGTAAAGGAACACTATAGAATGATGATGCCTCAGTGGAAGGTTTTAATATGGTTCCCTTAAATAGTTTTGTTTGTGCAAGTCATTACTTAAAATTGCTGTGCCACAAGGAAAATGGTCATTCATAAATATTAATCTGGTCCTTTAGGAACATAAACATGGTATATATACAACAAGTCTCTGATGCTGTGCTAAACACAAAAATGAAAGTATTCATCCAGTTAACTCCACGAGAACCACATGTGTTACTGATATATGCTTTATTAAAAAGACTCATGCAAAGGCTGGGATGATGGGAGCCTTGGTTTCTGTCTACATACAATCCCTGACGGCTCTGCTTCTGGAACATTGATAGTTCGCTCCTCATTCCCTGTTCAACATTTGGTGTCTTAACACAAATTAAGAGTCACAAGCTAACTAGAGCTACTGGGTCTCAGTGTCCCAGGACACAGTTCATCCATAAAAAAATTAACTGTTTACAAAAGAAAGCTTCATTCAGTCAAGCAATTAAGACCAAGTCCTGAGCCAGCCAGGACTGACTATCTCTGGTTGACTTTGGTAGGTCTAGTTCCATGTTTAAAATTGAGCATAAATCCAAACGGGGACGTCTGCATGCCATTTTGCAAGATGGTTTAAAAGAAATTCTACAGCCTCAGGGCAAAAATAAAGATTTGTTCTAGATTAAAATTTGGTGAAAGGACAAAGCAAGACCATCTTACTCATACTTTTGCTTATAAGTCATTTCCCTGGGTGGTCACAAGTCCCTAAGCAGTTCAGCTCAAGTCATCCTCAGCTGCAGCTTGTTTAATTTATTAGGCTGGAGTTTCTCTTAAAACCCCCACCCTTCTGCAGTTAATGTAAGATGTGGTTTCTCAGGAATGAGTGACTGTGTCCCTGCTGCTTGAGCAGTCCTCTGCATATAGCATCTGCAGCTACTGCCATAGGAAGAATCCATCTACCTCTTCAAAATAGAAATCCTACTGAATGGCTGAGCAACAGGAGCAAAAAAGCAACCAGGTAGAGATTTATAACACTGATAGAACTTGCCCTTCCTTCCCTTATATGCTACAACAAGGAGGTAGAAGGATAAAAATATTTGAATGAGTCTTACGGTCAGTTGTACTGCCTTGCTCCTGAATAACACAACTGAAAACACTGGGAAATGTCACTTGCGAAGCAGATAGAAATGTTTTTGCCATTAATCTAGGTGGGAAGGTGGCTGTTATTTCTGTGTTTTTCTGTGGAAGTCAGCAGTAGCCAGCAGCTATGGGGAACCTTGCTAACTTACGCACCTCCTCATTGTCTTGTAGAGCAGCAACAGGGGACCAGGGGAAACCACAGAGAACCTGCTACCAACCAGGCAGTGCTTGAATTATCACAAATCAGCATCCAGAAGATCTGTCCAGAAGGCTAACAAATGTATTCAGGTTGATCTAGACTTGGAAGAGGAGAACTCCAGTGCAGATCTAAGACTTTCTCCAACAACCTGCCTTTCTAAGAAGCCTCAGCAATGTCTAGGGAACGCATCACCATCCCAGCAAGGTATTTCCTCATCCTCCCAAGGACAGCCTGCTGTGCCAGCTCTGCTGCCACCCCCTCCGTCCCTTCCTCCTGGGCATAAGGTGCTTCTCACACCCCTTCCTGTGCCTGGCACGTATGCCCCATCGCTCCCACCGCCTCCACCATGCGGTAATCCTGCGTGCAGCCATCTCACCTGTGGATACAGAGGGCAGCCCAACCTACAGAAGACACCAACATTGAGGATGAAGGTGTTTCACTGGCAGAAGCTCCCCTCTGATGTGGTGAGACGTACGTGCCTGTTTGTAAAGACCAGGCTGATTGGTCCAGTTCCCTCACATCTAAACAAAAATGCTAGGGAACTAGGCCTTGGCTCATTAAGTCAGGTCACACAGGAAGACCCGTTTCTTACTCTCACTCCTATAAAAAATAAAAATCAGTAATCACAAACAAATATGGAAAGCCAGAATATTTGCTAATAAATGGAGGAAATAATCATTTGAGTAAAGCACTGAACTGTGGCCACTAAAATTTAACTTTTAATTTCTCTTAGTCATCACTAAGTGATGTTGTAGACCTTAATTAGTTTAACATTTACAAGATAACTTAATGTTTTACAAAACACTCTGAAGTACATTAGGTGTAAAGACGTGTGGAATTCTGATGCCCTGAGGTTCTTTCTAATGAACTCCTGGCACACTATCCAGGAGTGTCTTCGCAGCTGAAGCAATTTTTTTTTTCTCCCCCCCCTTCTTGCACAGCCAGATCATGCATCAGCCAAGATCTAAGGCTGAAAACCATTGTCAGTAGAGCTGGGTACATGTATGCTCAAGGCAGGATGTAGCCTCCATATTCATTGTGTACTGACCATGGCTACATGATTTTTATATTTTTTTTTCCACAAAAAATAACACTAAGATCTGTGGTTAACGTGGTTTGCCAAAGGGGTTTGCATGGCCTGTTCAGCCTTCAGCAAGGAGAGTGTGAACTCAGTTCCCATTTATGCTGCAGGTTTAAAGTTCATGTCATACAAGACATCTTGTAAAATTGCTCCATTGTCCTTATCACACAGAAAGGGAGACATCAGGGAGGTAAGGATTTGCTGCTATAATAAAATACATAAATACACATGCTAAAAACTGTTTGGGTCACAGCCTACTTTCTTGGACAGTGCTGCAAATCCAGACAACCCCAATGACTTCAGTGACACTATTGCAATCTCCCCTGAAGAAAAGGAGGTGAGACCTTTTGTTAAAGATTCTGGTGTTGTAGATCAGTTCATACTTTCAAGTACCGTGTGTTATTCAGATGGCTCCTGATGATTCTGGCAGTAATGCAGGGCTTGGGCGTCCTTCCTGCAAGGGGAGACATTTACCTAATTGGACAGTACATCCCCTGTGTGGATCCCACAATTCTGCATTGGTTAGCCAATCAGCAATAATAACAAGAATTTAGAGCAGCCCCTTGGATTCATCTGCTACCTCCAGTTCAGAGTTCCACATGTGGAGGTGATCTTCCAGATTTAATTAGCCTTCAGAACTCAGGAAAGTTGTCTCTGGGATCTGCTGCTCTTCAATAATTAACATTAGTCCAGAACTAATGAGCATCACAGAATCATCTAGGTTGGATGAGACCTTCAAGGTCATTGAGTCCAACCATCAACGTGACCTACCAAGTCCCATCACTAAACCATGTCCCTTAGTGCCACATCCACATCTCTTAAATACCTTCGGGGTCATATTTGATTCACCTTCTGAAGTGGTTTTGTGTGGAAAGTTTCTTTCCACAAATCACGCTGCCTTGAAAGTGCTCCTCTCTCTGTAGCCCATCTTAAAGAGTGGTTCTCTTCTAGAAAGCTGTTCCATGTGGGCCGTTGTACCAAGCGGCAGCAAGGAGCTCATAGAGCCTGACTATGCAAGCTTGGAGATGCTTTTCTGTGTCCCACCAACACCACCCAAGGAGAAAACAAAGCCAAAAAAGAAGTCAAAAGAGGTACTCAGACTGCTCACTTTTTGTAGATCCTGACAAAATTCTTGTATGTGAAAAGATTGTTCACTTTTTATTGTTGGCAGCCTTTTATAATAAGGTATAAAGTCTGGGATATTTTGCTACCCTTTGACTAATACTGTCTTAAAATGATGTAGGAGAGGTTTATCATTAAATGTGGTGAAGCAACACCACAGAGGATACTGTTTAACATTAGAAGGGGAGGACTTAGGAATTATAGTACTAATTCTTAAAAATTAGAATATTCTAAACAAATCATTTCCTTTGTGTATGTCTTTGTGGATGTTAAACATTTCTCAAATAGATCAGATCTCTCAAATAGATCTTATTACATATGCTTTGGTAAATTGTTGTGTTTGATCAATTAAGAGTGTTGATAATATTATTATTACAGAAGAATAAATCTGGCCCAACAAACTCTCTAAAATATTGGTTAAAATTAAAGCAAATGACTGTATTTTTCTCGTTTTTTTTGACAGATCACATTCATCGGTCCAAAGAAAAGTCTCCTTCTGAGTATATTTCTGAAGCAATTTAAGTGGTAAGAACTGTAGATCAACATATTTATTGATGTGTGTGTTTATCAGATGTTACATTAAATAAATTTAATGGGAATATTGCCTAACCTCTATCTTTCTTTAGCAAGGAGTCAGCATTTAAAAAAAAAAAAAAAAAAGAGAGAGAGAGATGTGGCAGATGTGGCAGTCTCTTTTCAGACAATTAATACATGTACCATGTCTCAAACTGGCATTCAACCTAAAACAGAACTTTGCTAATTCCTAAATAGTCAATATTAACAAAATCACAAGGAAGCATCTCTTTATTTGGTGTTATTGGCACAAATATTAATTCCTGGCAGGAACTGTTAGTGAAGATTCCTGATTAGATGTTCCAAATTACTAAATTTTAGGAGACATCTCAAGGAGTTCAGGTCCAAAATCATACTACTTTTTTTTTTTTTAATAGGAAATGGTTTTTATAATTAAGCAAATGGGAATCTGCCAAGTCACAGGCCTCACAGAGGAATGAAATGAAGCAGAATAAAAGAATCTGTTTTAGTTTTTAGCAAAATATCTTTACTTTCAGATTGCATGAAACCACTGTAGGATGAAGATGGATTTTCTGCTTTGTCTTTGCCTTTTTGTGCAATGACCATGTTACAAGGGCTTCAAAAAGAAACTGAGCCTAGAAGTTCCTTTATGTTAGGAACAAATTATAATCAATCTGAGGGATTTTTAAAACTTTTTCCATTGTGAACTCTGCCTTCCAATGGTGAAGAGCTGTGAATAACCTAATCCTGTTGCTGTCTACTTTCTCTGATTCCCTGGGCAGTGGTTAAGCTCTCCTGAAAGCAGTAAGTGGTTGTGGGATCAGCGAGGTGATGGATGGGGCTGCCTCTGTCAGCACTGGTCGCTGCCCAGAGCTGAGCTCTCCAGAGCCCAAAGCAGAGCAGACTGGATTCATTTCAAAGACATGTTGTCTGCCAAAGTTACAGGCAATGATTTGGGGTAAAACTCTCTGAGATAGCCATAAATACCTCTCAGTGGGAGGAGAGATGTCAGGTTTAGCCTTAGTTTTGCAGAAAGCAGTGAAAGATATCCAGGAGTAGATCTCTTCTGAGTGATGCTGGACACCCACAGTTAAAGGAGAGCCCTATGGGTTTGCTGTGTCAGGATGAGCAAAGTTCGGAAAGCACATCTAATCTGTTAGGAAAATTCCTTTAGGCTTCAAAAACCCTTCCACCTGTGGCATCTTTCTGTTTCCTACAGCTCCAATGAAGAGATTGCTGACATGATTCAGAAAGGGGATAGATCCCGGTTTGATACTGAGATACTGAAACAGCTACTTAAACTGCTGCCTGAAGGCCATGAGGTATGTAGTGAGCATGCTATCCTGATGGAGCTGGGTGTGCTTGGCACCTGGCTTGAAATTCTTCCACTGGTAGAGCAAGAAGCTGTGAGCAGATCCCGCGTTGGGCACCAGAAGTATCTATGTGGGTATTTTACCGTTCTATTTTCTAACAGATAAACAGCCTGAAGTCTTGCAAAGAACAAAGATCAGAACTAGCAAATGCAGACCAGTTTTACCTCCATCTCTTGGAAGTTCCTAGGTAAGCAAAACTTTATTTTTTTTCAACCCGTGAGTGTGACCCTTGCTAGAATCAATGACTCTGTCCTTCTAGTACAGGAGACACTTTTAACAGGGATATTTCTAACATATTTCTACGGGGATATTTCTAAAATTCAGTGTTCAGGATAAACCATCTGACTAGTTGAATGGCTGGCTGGAGAAACATTTCCTTCCCACAGGCCAAGCAGATACCTTTGGCAAACTAGTATTAAATTAACCTTGGTATTAATAAAGTTGTGAGAAAAATTCTGACTGTTACACAGTTACTGTATGGCACAAAGGTACAGTCTGAATCCAGTCACCAGGCTGCTGACTCACTCCATCCCTGTTTGAGAGACTCCATTATACAAAAAGGAGGCCACAAACCCAGGGGTGAGTCACAGCAGTGCCTTTGCTTTGACCACCTCCCAGATTTTCATGAGTTTTACCAAGTCAGATGATATACATACTAAGAAATCTTTGTTCTCCTCTTGAAAATACAATAACATAAATCATAGGAATAGCCTGTATAAATCTGAACAGTTGCCTCTTCCAGAGCCTGAGATGCTTTTTTGAAACTGTAGTGGCGAAAATGGGGCTTTTATTTTTCTCAAATGTATAGCTAGCTTTAAAGTTACTTTAGAAAATGTATTCATGACTCTTCCACAAAATTAATCCACGGTTAGACATAAATATCATTAAAGGGCATCATGGCAAAATAGTCAGAATTTCTATTTTGGAAGTTAAAAGGAAGAACAAAAATTCCAGCTAGTGCTGCCCAGGAACCATCAAGAATTATTGCCTCATTATGCAAGGAAATCACTGCCAGATTTCAGAGCACCATTGCATTCTGAAAGAGGAGATGATAATTGTTTCTAGGATATCTTTGGAAATGTCAAAGTGTTTGATGTATTTATAATGCAGTTCAGTGAGAATGATCTTGTGTCAGATCGTTAAAGTGAACATAACAATGATGGTACTGCACTTTGCCTAAAATGGGCGATTCTCCTGCTGAATATAAATTAATTAGGCCCATGTTTTTTGCCACCTCCCATCTCTTGTAGCTACCAGTTGCGGATTGAATGTATGCTGATTTGTGAGGAAACAAAATTTCTGCTGGAGTGTCTGTGGCCAAAAGCAAAAGCCATCAGGACAGCCTGTGAAAGTAAGTGCATTGGTGATGTGTCTATGCCCAGTGCTCAGTCACAGGAAGCTCCTCTTCTATTCCTACTATTGATGCTATTTCTAACAGCATATGCTATAATCTAATCAAAATTCACCTTTTAATTGCTGAATATGTAGTGAATACCAGAAAGGTTCTGCAGATACCTGCTTCTAGAATTCACTCTGCAGGACTGTAGTTTGTGCTGTTCTGCCTTGATGTGGAGCTTCTGCTGACACAAATAAAACAAACACATTGCCTCTCCTCCATCAGTGGCCCCTGTAGAGAAGGAGGAAATTTCCTATATGTCAATGCCAGATTTTGTTTGAATACAAGCTGAATTTTTGTGTGTAGCAGTGACTTCTGTCCACAGCAATGAATCTGTTCCAATTTTCCCTCCAGCCCATGCAGGTTGCATGGAGCAGGCCGCAGTGACATACCACAATCTGTTCTGGCTTCCAAAACAGATGTCCCCAATGATGTTTCAGAAGCACCCTCCACACAGGATTAACCTTGGTTTTAGTTTTAACTCAGTTCTTTCTGAGTAACCCATGGATTCAAGCTTCACTTCAATAGTTTGAGAGACATTGACCTTTTGTTGAACAGTTAAGCAGTAAAATTTTTGTTTATGTTTGCATAGAAAACTTGGCTGTGCCTGGCTGTTTGATGTCAGTGTTATAGGTACTCTGTACTTTTACTGTCAACAGCTCCCTGCAGTCTCACTCTGCCCCATTGTGTTGGGTGGGGTCAGCATTTCTTGCTAGTTTTGCCAAAAAATTGATTCTTACCCCCAGTTTCTGATGCCCAAGTGCACAACTTCTGGTTATAATGCTCACCAATGATGATAACGAGGCAAAAAAAATGCCCTTTGCTTTTCTTAACCTAGAATAAATGTACTGAAAATGGGGGCCATGGGCTTTCAAAAGCTTAAATACTTTTTCCATATGCAGTTCTTCATCATGTGCAGTGATGACACATCCATACTCCAAGCTTGATGGGAAAAATAGTTTTCCATATACTTGTAGAGAAGAGACCACAATAGAAACTTACTCATTCCACTTCCATTCAGTTGAATTATTTCTGTACTGGTTGATTTCTAAATCCATAACAGTGGCTTTATATAACCTTGGATGAGAATTTTGCTACCCCACTGTCAAACCTAAGGAAAAATTTATTTCAGATAACTTCAATTAATTTATTGAAAATGTCCCTTTTTATTCTTAGCACTTCTTACTAGTCAGCGACTGCCAGTTTTCTGTCAATTGATTCTTAAAGTCGGAAACTTTCTGAACTATGTAAGTAAGCTGGTATTTTAATTGCTATATTTTTAAAAACCGCATAAAATATAAATGAAGTAAGGAACTTTTTTCCCTATCTTCTAGGGGCATCACACTGGAGATGCTGGAGGTTTTAAAATCAGTGCCTTGCTCAGACTAACAGAAACAAAGGCAAACAAAAGCCATGTTACTCTGCTTCACCATATTTTGGAGGTACAAGGGAACTGTCAAATGATTCCTGTGTGTTATTCTCAAATATTATTTCCTCAGAAGCTAAGGGGCTTTAATTTCAGAAGCACCCCACCATAGACATCTGGAGGGTGAGCCTCTGTGCCTGAAATATGATGAAAACTTCACCACAACTCTCTGGGAAAGAAGGATAAAACCCATTTGCAGAGATGTTTAGGAAGCTAACGTTAGGTTTTCTTCCTCAAGTTTGTTTAACATGTCTGCTTGCTGTTTTCTCTCTCTTCTGCAACTGCTCTCTCGTGGTGACATGCCTTCCAAATGCATCTGTCAGATGAGGTTAATTTTAGTGATACGAAGAAAAAAATCTCAGATCAGCTTGTGCACTGTAGCAGCACATGGGATGTAAGCCTGAGCAGTTAAGAGCCTCTTTTTTATTTCTTCTTACCTCCCCACGGGTGCCAACTATGACAGAAAAGAATAAACGAGGCTAAACTTACCCCAGCACTTATAAGGAGGAAAACTGAAGTATTAATTTTTCAATCCAGATATTGTTCAGCTTGAAAGACTTTCCTACTCTTTGACTAACAGTGGAAGGTAACCATCTTTCACTTCAATTTTAGGAGGTTGAAAAAAACCATGCAGACTTGCTGCAGCTTCCCAGAGATCTTGATTTTGTTTCCAAGGCAGCAGGGTAGGACATTATTGTTTGTTTTTGTCGTGTATGAATTGCCAGCCTCTTTGTAGCCAACAAGGATCTGAGTCATTTATGGTGGTGTAATAAGGTCACAGGACTTCTCTGCTGTGTGAGCGAGAGTTTCCCATCTGACTCCAAACAGTTTTGAGATTTGTAAATCAATCTGGTTACAACTTTTTCTGTGGTGCTCAGTACAATTTTTCTTTTGGAAGTGCAAGTACTACCTTAGAGGTAAAACTGAGTAAATAATGAGCTTCATTCTTAATGAGTCGTATTAAGAATTATGGAAAAAGAAGTATATATTTCCTGAAAATTTTCAGTCATATTCATGTGCAAGGCCATCAGAAGCTACATGAACAGATCTGGGGCAAGGAGGGAATGGCTAGGGCAATTTACTAGTAATCAGGGACCTCAGGACTCCCTGAGTTAAATATCAGCAAAAGTTTCCAATACACGTGGGTGGAGGGAAAAAAAAGTCTGTTTTTTGGTGAGTCTAACACCAGCTCATTCTGTTTAGCTCAAAAGAACCATATGGGGGATATGCCAAATTCAAAATCCAGATTTACTGCACCAGGATTACCATTTTTACTCCTGCTATAAATTCATGGGAACGAACCTTGCAATGTTTTAATTCCCCTTGCAACTAGAAGCAGAGGTAACCTGTAAATCTGGAGGTGGATTTACATTAAGTAGCTCCTAAATAATTAAAACGAAAAAGTATTTTGATTCAGTAATGCAGAAAAAGCCCTAATCCTATATTAATGCTTTGTGTTAAGGTTTCTGCTAGTTATCTGTGCAGAATTTAAGTTGGATGTTGTTTTGAAGCATCAATTTCTTTTTGGTTTGGGCAATAACAGAGATACTTTTCTTATCTGAAACTAAATCAGGTGAAATAAAAATAATTGCTCTCAAGTCTAGTCAAACCCTCAAACATAAAATTGATCTGCTAATTAACACCCAGACAGCTGTTTATAATGCAAACCCTGCAAGGCATTCTTCTAACGCTGTTCACATCTGGATGCACCTTGTAACACAACATCAGGTTTTTCCTATTCAGTTATTTCTTTTGACAAAAATGTCTGTTTGAAGCATAAAATACGTTTCTTGGTTCTGCAGCATAACACGTTTGGTCCTCCACGTGAGCTAAGCTAACTGAGGAGAGGCATAATTTTGGATTATAAATAGATGAGGGAGAAAAACAGCAAAGACGGAAAAGAACCACTTAAGTAATGACAGTATTGGCACAAGAGATGAGCGTGTGGTGTCTATGAATAAGAACTGGCTGGAAACTGTAGAGGTTTTTGGACGCTAGAACAGTAAGATTCTTCCCCAGGCTGTCTCAGGAGGTAGCACAGGCAGTAGCATGGCTACTTTCTCAGATGGGGAATTTAGAAAGCACTCAGAAAACACTGAGAGAAAAGGGTTTATATGGAGGAGAATTACCTGCAAAATCAGGGTCTGGACTGGGGAACTAATCCTACATTCATTTGGAGAGATGTGTTTACAGTAACCTTTTAACTTAGTGAAAACAAAAGATTCACCCCTTCAATTACTATCCCTTTTGTGGGCCTTTCAGGTTTCACTTCGATGCTATGAGGGCTGAGGCAAGTGCCAATTTGAAGAAACTGTTGGAAATAGAGAAGCGTTTATTTTTGTCCACGGAGGATTTAAAAATACAGCACGCAAAATCTGTTCAAGTATGTAAAGTGGGTATGATGCTTTTCCCATCCTTCTTCCCAAACACTTTCAGTCTCTTCTCAAAAACACCGAAATTCAGGTGGCAAATTGGCACAGAGGTCTGTGGGGAGGGGGTCCTAATGATGAGTGCTGTGTTAGAAGAGGAGCACCTTTTTTTCCCCAATTCTGCAATGTGATACTGTGATAAGGAAACAGCTGAGGACCAGACAGCTCTGTGAGTGGGCAAAAGAAAAGAAGATGCTAAAAATGAAACGTAGGATACGGCTATAAATATGTATAGGACAGTAACATGTTTTGTCTCGCTGTTCTTTGGGGGGGGGGGGAAAAGAAGTGAACAGATTTACAGAATGCTTTTTCTGCATATATTTCCAAACATCATAGCATTAAATGTTCTCAGAACAGGTCTGTGTAACTAAAGCTAAAAGGAACAAGCCTTGGTGCTGGGTATCACCAGGATCGGTCACTCCAGGTTTCCACCTGGTTGTGTGACGAAAGTGGAAGCATACAGTGAGCTGCCTTGGTCCAAATGAAACTGGGGGAAATGCAGACAGTTCAGTTAAGATGACAATATTGCCCACTGTGACCCAATCTTAACAGGCAGTTTTTCAAAACCCAATTGCTCAGTGGTAACTGACTTGGTTCTTGGGTGTTGGGTCTTGGTTCTTGGGTGTCACTTCTTAACGTGCATAAACTGTGTTGCAAACCGTGTCTCAGGGCAGCATCAGTGCTTCAAAAAACCTGCAGGAGGAGTTTGACAGCATTGAAAAGAAGAAGGACGAACTGGCTGATTATCTTTGTGAAGACCGAAAAAAGTTGTCCTTGGAAGATGTATTTAACACAATGAAAACCTTCAGAGAGCTCTTCCTCAAGGCTTTACAGGTGGTTTCCTTTTGTGACTCTTTAGAAATAGATTGAGAACTTTCTTCTTTTCTTTTTTTTTTCTTAATGACAAGAATTTATTTTTTCTTCTACTGCAAGCTGGGCTACCTACACCCTGGCTCAGGAGTAAATGAAAGTAACTGCTTATTTGCTTCCAGTCTACAGCAAGAAATGATAGTGTGGGCAAATTATATATATATATATATATAAAATATGTAATTCTTTTGCTACAGAGAACTCTCAAAGATGTTAGTCCCACTGTAAAATTATTCATTGGGCCTCAACGGAGTAGGAGCTTAGTGGCATGTGAAAGAATGAGAAACTTGACATGTTTTACAGCCTTTGCCAATAGGCAAGAGGTAAATTTTCTAATAGGCAAACTCTAGTTGGAAAATATGTTTACATGTAGTTATTTTACTGAATTAGTCCAAAACTGCATGTTTTGTCCACTAAAAAAGGGCAAATCTTATTGGCAACTGATTTGTATGTAAGACCTTAGTCCTTGCACTGAGGATAAAGAGAAAAAAAAAATTTAAAAACACCATAAAACTTGTACAGACCATCTCCCAATTAGTAAACTTGAAGTTCACATTCCCTACTACATACATAATGCCTGAAATAATGTACTTAAGACCTTCCCTGGAGGTCTTCAAGAAATGTGTATTAGAACTTGGTTGACTGGTGGACTTTAGTTCTAGGTTAAAGGTTGAACTAGATAATTTTAGAGGTCTTTTCCAACCTGAATGATTCTGTGGTTCTCTAGGGCTTTCTTCAAGTTGGGTGGCAGTGGCTTCACATACATGTGTGTATATATATATATTATATATATTATATATATATATATATATATATATTACTGACGCCAGCAGAACTCAAGTCTGGATTTGACGTTTACAAGCATTGCCAGAATAGAGATATCTTTGCTGTGCAATGTCACGGCAAGAGAGGGTGAGGGGTGCTTAGGGCAGATCATAGTTTCAGATGAGTACAAAGGGGCTTCTGAGCAAGTGTCTGAAGACAAAGGATGAAAAAGATATTCTCTATGTTCCTACAACCTGCTCCTCCTATGAGACACCAGGCTTCAATTTTGCAAGCCATACCACTACCCAGGCTCAGAAGCAATGTGATAGTGCCACAGAGAGTCTGGAAAAAAATCCTACAGACCACACATCCATCAGCAATAAACTTAGCCCTTCAAGTTCCTAAAATATCTAGGCAGGAAGTAAAGAATTAAGAGAGTCAAGTACATCATGGCTCAGGATCTGTGGAGAGCTACACTGGAAAGCTGTCAGGAGGGGTAACCTCAGGAAGCGCAGGGCTTTTCAGAAGCAGTCCCAAATAAGAATTACATAGTGACCTAGTACAGCTGCAGAAGATTTAAATTACACTTTTGGGTGCTGCTTTTTCACAGTCAGGTTAGACTAACTTTCAAAATATGCTTCCTTTTATCTGCACACCATGCAAACTCCCTTTCACCCTACTTCTTGTTCCATTTCTCAGCAGCTCCTCACCTCTGAGGTACCACGACCATTAGCCACAATTTATGCATGTTACCTCCGTTACAGACCTGTAATGTAACCTTCTCTGCCTTCTTGCCTTGCTTTCCTTCCTGTCATTGTAGTAAAGACACTGTGCTTGAAATTGCAACATCCTGAAAAGTTTAAGGTTTTCATTTTTAAAGCATTTTATTGTTCTGTGATACTGATTTTTTACACTGGAATCAGCCAAATGCAGCATTTCTTTCTATTGCCATTTGACTTAGGAGTCTTTAAGGATAAATTGTCACTTATATTTTAATGTGAATATTCTGTTTAAGCAGGTCTCTTAGCACTACAAAAATAATTAATGTTATCTTTCTATGTTCACATCAAATAAGAAATCATTCTGATATATAGTGAGCTTTCATAGGGACAGTTTGGTTTTGTTACTTTTTTTTTTTTTTTAAACAAAGTTCTTCTCCATTCCTGAGGGCTTGTTCTGGTTTCTTATCCCTCAAGTAACAAAAACAGATCTACACAAATGAAATTTGATAATATGAATCCACTTTCTTCCTCTCCATCTACTCAAAGAGCAAAAAAGTTTTTCAGACACCACCCCTGACACAGAAAGGAGCTGGTTTTCACCCAGGGCTGAACGTTTCCCTACTTCTCAAAAAGTAAAGGGACCAGATGGCAGGAGGAAGGAGATGGAGAGAAAATAGCTTCCCAGCTCAAGATAAAAACCAGAATTGCAGATACACTGAGAACTGAGTTGTAAAATTGCGGGGAAAAAAGAAACACTGTGATTATAGAGGATTGGGAGAAACATTTTATTTCCCTTAGCACTTGCAGCTGTTCAAAGAGGGGAGCTCCCCACAAAGAGGCTGTCTAATTTCAGGAAAAGGAGAAAAAATGTTAAACAAAATCTGCTCTAGGAAGCACTCAGATGATCACAGAGGTTATACAGACAACGCTGTGCAGGGATAGATTCTCTGAGTGCTCCCCTAGGATAACCGAGCTGGAGCAGCTGCTCCTCAGTAGGGTGCATATGGTGCTGGAACAGGATGTGCTTTAGATAGTGTGGGGATAAACAGTTGTCATGGAGTGTCTTCTAATTCAAAGATCAAGTAAGTATCTAACATCCCACAAAGTGTAAATCCAAAATGACACCCCTTTTATTTAATCTCATCCATACAGCTGCCTTCAGTAATCCAGGAGATGGAGAAAGGATTGTGAACATTCATTCCTCTGCCTTGGTGGATTTTCTTGCATTGAAGAAATTCTGTTAACAGCATGTTGGTGTCAAATTGCCCTTTTTTCCTTTTTTTTCTTCCCCCCCCCTTTTTTTTTTCATTCTCTGAACAATTCAGTTTAGGTTGGCTCAACCCATACATTTTTTTCCTAACGTTTTAGTTTGCTTTCAGTACAGTGTGTGCTGCTTAGGTAGCAGGACAACATATCCCTGAATTCACCTCTTTAATTTCTTGTGGCATGTTATATGGAAACATTCTCCCAGGGCTCACAGATCTGCAAGCCTCTCAGCAGCCATAATATTTCCATGACATTATGCTAAAACACAGCAGGAATTTATCAGGCGAGCACGTGGGAGGCATACAATGATGAAAGGCTTCTAGCCTCCCCATAAGACTTCACCAACTGTACCTCTTTTTTTTCAGAAGCACCCTCCATTCAGGGAAAAATGTATCTTTCTCTTTCTTTGTCAAGAATGCACCATTTTAATCCTTGTTTTCTAGGCATCCAGGGAAGGTCCCCATAACCTCAAGCCTACAATGCTCCTGTATTTCTGAGAGATTAACTCTATTGATCTTCACAAGTTTGTTTCAGTTGTTTGGAAGTTTTTGTGGAAGGATCCTAGGATTTTATCTTCTATAAAAGATTTAAGAAACTTGTGCATGTTTCTTGGGACTGTTTCATGGAAATAGCGGCAGGTTATACATAGCAATCAACCACATCTATCAGTACTACGAGGCTTAGTATTATCAGTACTATCAGTACTATTTCTTGCTGCCAAACTCCCTGCAAAGGAGACCAGACGTCTCAACAGGAATCCTATCTGCACCAATCATCAACATCTTCCTGGACATTATTAAATTTTGTAATATGACACAGCGGCACACTCCTCTTAGCATCATAGATCCCTACAACAACAAGCCCAACAACCACTGATCTACCTACAACACACAGATTAGCTGCAGACTGGTTGCAATCAAAAGCAGGCGATCTTCCAGGTGGTGATGGCAATGTTCTGATGATGATTGCAGCTCTGGAACAAGGACTCCATAAGCTTTTAAGAAAATGGCTTTTTGTCATCTTGATGTTTTGCTGCAGCTAGCGTAGCAGTTCAGAGCTACTCTCTCTTATGACTGTGTTACCTACCAAAACCCAGAAACACTCCTCCACTGAGTTAAAGTCTTCCTCTACTAGAAGTAATAGAAGTAATCATTCAGATTCTTTTCCTGCACTAATCGTATCACCCCTATACCAAAACCTCTAAGGAAACCAGAGTCCTATCTGTCTGCTTGAATGTTAACAGGACTAGGATTTATGCAGCTTGGACGTGTCTGCTGCCGAACACTCGTGTAGAAATATATCTGGCAAATTCAATGGGTGCCTGAAAAGAAACTGTGAAATATTGTTTAACAGATTTGAAAGGTTCCTGACATTTCTGGTAGAAATCCCTGAATGCGATTATATAAAATCAAGGTTGCTACAGGATAAATACCTAGAATGCTAATTAAGTTAAACAAATATTGTGTTTTGTGGACAAAGGGATTCATTAAGAATCCCATTTCAGTCCACAGTTGAATCAATTAAAAAATCAGTTAAAGCAATGAACTCATTTGCTAGTAACATCATCAGATGAGGAAGGGATTGACCAGGAAGCTTTGTTGTGCTGTTTACTCTCAAACCCCAGCAGCTGAGCAATGTCATTTTAAGTGTTTATAGGGCATACTTAGCATATTTTTTGTTTGTTTTGTTTTTTCCTTTAGTAAGTCTCATTTAATTTTCTGTTTGTCATTTTATCTGAATACAGGAAAACCAACAAAGGAAGGAACAAGCTGCAAAGTCTGAGAAAAGGAAGAAACACCTTAAAGGAGAAGACATGAAGAGGCTAAAAAGAGAGGATGAGAGCAGTATACTTAACAAAAAATAACTCTGGTTTTATCAGCCACTCAAGTTAACTAGAAGCAAATGATCTGTTTAGCTATGGACGATCTAATAGAATAAGTGGGATTTAGCTATGGTTGGTGTCCTTGTCAAGCAGATAGCTATAGTAAGACATCAATTTTCAAGTATACATGCATGGTCAGAAGAAATCACAATAGGGATGTTAGAAAAATTATCACTCCCAATGAGGAAGTTACTACCTTTTTGCTTAGAGGTGAGTAATAGCCAGCTATTGCTCTGAACAGTTGTTTGAAGGCTTTTAGGGAATATAGAGAGGTTGCACATTCTTGAACTTCAAGCTGTACAGTGTCACTGTGGTAGGCAAGCTCTGTCAGCTTTATTGTTATTGTTACCACGGCCTCTGCAGTTTTCTGATTAGAGTTCTGATTCCTTAAAATGGTTACATGTGCGCTTTAATTAGCGTCTGTGATTTGCTGAAAAATGGATTGACTTAACTGCAGCAAAATATTTGCAGTGCAGAGCTGAGCTGGGTGTGAAGCATTCCTGGTATTAATATTAGCGTACGTATATTTTAAAACTATATTTTGGCAAATACCTGACAGTCAGTTTTCTTGAAGATTTCTGCTGATAACATTCGGTTGTGATTCTTGATTCTTCAGAGTACTACTGCAAAAATGGCATTAGTAAATCTGAGTTGGGATCATGTAAATATTACCTTGGATGCTCACCCCTTGAAAAACTCTGTTTTTCATTGTATTTCTCATCTAAATAAATGGCCTTCTTTTAGCTCCTTTTTTCAAAATTACTCATCTTTAGAAATGTATTTAAGATACATATAAATATATTGAAAATTCACCAAAGCAATGTTTTCCATATTGTCTTGACAAGCTGTACTGCAAATATGTTTTACCTACTTTGCATACTTGATGTAAAGCTATGGATTCAAACAATAAACCTTTTTGCTGTAAATACAGAAAAGTAACTTAGTGTATGGTAAAACAGAATTATAAAGCAACATTCAGCAGCTGTAAGGATTAAAGGTGTGCTTCTGCCCTGTGAAGAGCAAAAGCACCAGACCAGAGTACATACCTTCACCACACAGTTTAGATGGAACTGATGTAATTTTGGGTGTCTTGTGAGAAAGGTAGATTTATTTATTGGGATATAAACTTAAACATGAAAAAGAGATGTTAGACTCTGATTTATTTTTCAGTATTTATTTTAGAAAGCTGTGCCTATCACTGGTGACAATGAAAATCAGACATTTTTATAAGCTGGTTTTATTTCCCTCTTGATATGGTGACACAAACTGTAGAGAATATAGGGTATGACATGGCAGGGGTCTGGAGCTCATCTTCAGATTCTTCATCCTCTGTATAAGGTTTGATGTTATTTATTTATTTTGGATCATATATTTAGCACATGAAGTAACCGCTTTCTGAAGGAGGGAATGAAGAGAGAGTAAATTTGGTGAAACAAAAGGCCTGGGTCCACAAAGAATCACATATACCTTTCACTTCACTGTTATCTCCCTTGACGTCGGTGATATGCAGCACAGAGTGGTAATCTGTGCATAAATCTTTAAGGTCTCAATCCTACAGTCTCCAAATCTCTGACCTTAACGCCAGTCACACGCTCTGTTAGTGTCAGTATCTGGTTTATCCAGTTGTCTGAGGATCATTTCTCTGCAGTTGACAGCCCTGCCCCAGACAGCACACAGCAGCAAGGTCTCGGTGCAGGCATTAATGTCGCTCCCCCCAGTCCAAATAGAAGATGTGAAAGCAGAAGCACACATCGCTGAGGTATTATTAATAGTTTACAAGCAAAGGTTTGCAGCTGCTGAAAACTGCCACAAACCAATCTGAGTCAGAAATTGTTACCAAAATTCATGATTGAGAGAACAGATCTCAGAACAACGTGACTGCATGTATTAAAAACAGCTTTCCTGTAAATGAAACTTAAGGTAGCATTTCAAAAAATAATAAAATTGTTGACACAACCCTGCTGATTCTAGGGATTTGGCTATCTAGGCTTTTTTGAAGTCCTCTGAATGTGTTTACATATGTATTTACACAGTGTTTTTTTCCATACATATGTACTATTATTATTTTTCACCCATACTGAATTAAGCAACTCTACTGCTTTACTTTCTTCAGGTTTTGTTGTAGCAGCCTCTGTCACCGGGCATTTCCATTCTTCGGGAGAATTGTATTAGTTACATGCAAAGACCAATACTCTAAATTATTTCATCAGACCATAAATTATTTGGGGTTTTTATTTACAAAGGGGAAAAAATGAGCTGCTTCTAATGCAAAGTTGGGGATGCAGTTAATGACCACAACAAACCTCCTTAGGAGCAAAATGTAAAACCATGCAGAGAAAGTTGTGCTAAATATCTGGTGAGAATTCATGTACATATCTGTAATACTGTAACTGCAGCAGAAAGGGAAGTGCTATTAAAAGATGAAGAACAAGTAAATTTTGATGAACAATACTGGAGTTTTACAACATAGCTATCATCTTTACACATAGAAATCATCTGCAAAAGCAAGCCCCCAGCCCAGTTTCTTAAGTTGATATATTCAGGGTCCGATAAAAGAGCTTTTATCTGGAAAACCTCTTATTGTCTGTATGTACACTTAATCATTTGTCTGTAAGTAACAAACTGATATATGATCAAATATCATCAGCATTAATTGGTCTTGCAATAATAAAAGCAATAAGTCTTTAAGAACAAGAGAAATAAGAAAAATGTTCTGTTGCTGAAAGGTTTCTGTTATATTGCTTGGATTTGCTGTTTTAAAGCATGCCTTAATGGCTTCAAAATTGTGTTTTAAGGACATGTACAACTTTCAGTGCAGAATTTACTCAGAACTGCATTGTATTGTGGTATGTATTTGCACTTCAGTATGCATTTCATTTGTGGATATGTTCACTTTGGTAAAACAGAGATAAACAAATGTGCCTGAATCTTTGAGGCTTACTAGTTGTGTTTTTAAATCACATACTGGCAAATAAGATCCTGAGTAACTGCTTCTCCTGTGTCAATTCTGAATACGTTTGTGTGTTGTTTTTCTGGTTTTGGTTTAAGGGGATTTATTTTCAGGTACAGCTGCAAGGACAGACTATCTGGCTCTTAATCTCCTACAGATCTTCTGTACAGATTCTGCAGATGAATAAATAAGTAAAAGCATCTCAATTACATCCAACAATATTTCACATGAATTCAAATTGAATTCTACAAAACTGCAAAGATTAAAACCAAAAAGCCTGACCCCATGTCCTGGAGTACAATCAGTTAGAGAAAGTTCTTTTACTGGGAGCCTGGCAGACTTCAGGGCATGCTCTCACAAGCACAAAGGAGCATAACCATAGTGCATTATTCCTTTTATCTCTTTTCTACATTCCCTGCAGAATCTCTAACGCATTATATTGGCTGAAGAGGTGGCTCAAACTGAGCTTAATCCATTAAAATGTGTTTTCAAATCTTTACACAGACTTTATACGATCTTATTTCTGTGCATATGAGTTACTCAGCTGAAATAATGTGAAGAAGCCTCAAAATTTGGTATCTGCTTGAGTATTTGTTGGGCAGAGAAAGATGCTATGAGAGGACTTATCCGTGGAAGTCGGAGACTAAAATTCATGTTCACATCTCTAGCCAGGGGAAAAGCACAGATTTGAGCAGGTGTCTGTCACATCACAGCTGAGACTCCTAACTCCTCAGCCAGCATGTGGTCATGTCCCAAATACAGTTCTGTGGGGCATTTAGCTTATACATACACTGTTTATTGAGGGAGGGACCAAGTAGCAAAAGGAGAACACCCAACGTGAGATTCCTCACAGTCTGACTCTGCAAAATGAATGGGATAAACTGCATGTGCAACCCACAGACATGTCAGTGATTACAGCAGTAGATGGCAGCTAGGCAGATTTTAAACATGCTACCTAAGTATTAGATCTGGGCATCTAAACAGGTGGATACACACTTTTTGAGTGTTTGGGCAAAAGTCTTCAGAAAAGACTTACAGCACTGGGACCTACTGGGTTATTAAAGTTGGTCTAATTCAAAGGAATTCATGCTGAACCACTTTTGCCAGACCTATTCTTAAAGTGCCCAAGGATACAGGAACTCCACAGTCTAGGTAAAGTGTTGCTGTGCTAAATTGGGAGTATCTTTAGTAGAAGGACTGCAGCAAGGCTGGCCTTACTGCTCCTGTTTCAAGCTCAATAAAGCTTCATATGCCGTAAAGTTTGTACATGTTTATCAGATCATTCAGTATAACAAAAGATACAAACATTTTTTACTTTGTCATGGCCACCACAACCAGAGTCAACATGTTACCACTCCATTTTCATTTGCAGCAGCTTTTTACATACTTGGTGGCTGTTATCACAAGACCTCTGGCCTTTTTTTTTTCTAGACTAAACAACCCTGTCCCTTTCAGATTTTCACCCTTGGGCCTGTTTTCCAGACCTGGGTTCATGCACTTGTGGCTGTCTGCTGGATTTTCTTCAGCCAGGTCTCATCTTCCCCACAGTGCAGCTGGATCTTAGCTGGATGGTTCAGCAGGTCTAAGGACACCTTCGTTTTACAGGTTGTGCTTCCAGTTCAGTGTGGTGTTTGCCTTTTTTTTGTGGCCACATAACATTCTGACTCCTATTCAGAGAAACATCATGGACTGCAGTGTGATTCTTCTTGTTTCTGACTGTGTGCCATCTGCAGATTCAGCAAGTGCACTTTCTGTTGCATGCTCCAAATCTTTCATGAGAAGACAGAAGAAATTTTGAATCACAAGCAGAGCCTTCACAATTTGATCTGCACTTTGTCCATATAAATTCTTTACTGCTCCCGGAGTACAGTTCTTCAAGTGTTTCTGCACCACTATAGTATTTGTATCAGGGCAGTGAGCAAACAGATGTTTGGTGAAAATGTTGGTCTGAAAAGAGACAGTTTAATTTTGATTACTTTATTCTGCAGTAAATCTAAAGTGAATTGTTTTAGTCATCTGGGCATATATATCTCGTATTTGTTGACCTGAAGTTAAAAGTGTGTGTTTAATCTAAGTAGGCAGATCTTTGAACATTTTTCTGTGAAACTGCTAAAATTAAGCATTGTTAGGTGGATTGGTTCTAATGGATGAGCTCCGAGGTACAGGCAGCTCCCCTGAGATCCTAATGCTGATTCTTTGTCAGGACCCAGCACCAGGGGACAGGGAAACCAAGTACCTGCAGCCTTTACAAGTCCCATGTCACTCTGCATGGCCTCCCTGTTAATCTCATGCATTTCTCAATCTGCAAGTCAAACATTTGCTTTGAACTGAGCAAAACCCACCTTGAAGATTAGATTTTTTTCTCATGTTAAACACAAAATGCATTTAAACCCATTGATTTCAGTGGATTTCAGTTTGTTTCTTAAATTGGTATGAGAAGAAAAATAAATCTCTTCAAGTCAGCTGCTTCATACATCTTCTATGCAATGTTAATGTTTTGAACTTTTATAAATATATTTTTTTTTCTCCTGGTAGATTAGTTTATAAAGTTTTCATTATTATTTTCACAAGAAACAGCTTATGGAAATGGAAGGTTTAATACTGCTAGCACTGGAAAGAAAATGTAGCTGGAGTTTCTGAATATCTCAGAAATACAGTGGATACGATTACAGAAATGCTGAAGAGACTATCAAATATTCTTCAAATTTCCTAAATCTGAAACAATATAAAAAGAAAAACACAGAACATTTTAAAGTACTTTTTGGCTATGAGGAGCTGAGAAGCTGCACCTTTCTTTGCACAAAAATGTGCAGAAATTTCCTCCAAACCAGTCACTGGCTGAGAGACACAAAGAAAAAAAAATTAAAAAAAATAAAATAAAAAAAAAGGAGAAAAAAAAAAAGAAAAAAAAAAAGCTGAAAAAACTGTCATCTGTTAAAAAGACTAGGTTCTGTCCTTAAGCAGGGCAATTTACACTATATATATATTCATCCCAGGATTATTTTTATTTAAAAACAAACAAACAAACAAAACTGAGCATAACCAGCTAGCCAACCAAAAGAACAGCAGTACTTCTACTCCGGAAAACTATGTGGATGGAAGGTATGATAAAGAGAGGAAAAAAAGCCATGCCACAATGGCAATGCTAATCATTCATCAAAAATCATTACAATATATAGCTCTGGGAGCCTGTCTTTGGATTGTAGCTCTATGAAGGTTCTCCTGCAGAGGAACAGCACCAGCAATATATATTTCTTGCAGCAAAGAGCATTTTTATATCCAAGATATGTTGAGCTGTGACAACTGAGTGACACTGCTGATGATTTTTGCTGTTTACAACCCATAAAAAATCCATAAATGTAATGCCTGACAAATAATTATTCCGCAACGAGATAACTCTCTTTATTATTTAATGAATAACATGATTTTGCTATTAGGCAGCAAAAACTTGGAAGATTTGATGGAACTGTAAGGAAAGCTCTAGAGGAAACTTTGAAAGAAAATAAAAGCTTGGAGGTGAATGAAACTGGGATAAAGCACAAAAGGAATGAGCAAAAGCAGAAAGAGATCACTGGCACAGGCTTCCTTTGCCTGTTATTGAGACAGAACAAATGTAGGTAGGTATGTATTTCATTAAGATACTCAGTGTGGTACTGAACACGGGGTGAGTACAATTACAAAGGGAAATAAGGTATTAAGTAAAGAGAAGTTTAAGTCACTAACAAGAATTTCAGCTGCGCAGCAGGAACAGGCTGCCTGCAAATGGTTGAGGAGACGGCAGAACAGTGCAGAAGTTTCTCAGTTAGGTTCATGAGCTGCCAGTGCATGGCTGTAATGAGAAACAGAGCCAGTGCTGGCTGTTCCAGAAGGAACAAGTTTGAGCTCAGCTGGTCTGGGATGCTGGGCAGCTCTAAACTGGCTGGTACTAAAGTGAGAAGCCCAAAGAGTCGGGGGTAAAGCCTATGCTTGAGTTGTGGCCAGACATCTGGTACATATGGGACCAAAGGAATCGAGTACCTTAAAGGACTTTGCAGTAATCGTCCATCCTTACAACTGAAAGAATGGTCAAGACAAAAGTAAAGGTTAAATTTTTACAGTGCAAAATTCTGAAACCCAAGCTGGAGGCTTGTATTTCAGGCCACGTTAGACTGCACATGGCATCTGAATGTGAAGAATATATATGCAAAATGCCAAGTAGCTGTATCTTGCATGTGAAGTGCAAATGGCAGAAAGAGGTAGCAGCATTTCAATGTGTGGAGAAGTGTGGGAGAGGAGCTGACTTTCAACATGTCTGTGAAACTTGACAAGTCCGGGAATGTCTTAGGTGAGATATTTCCAGCTGAGAGGAGAAGACATTAGTTCCTGTGTAGAATAGGGAACTTCACGTGGACCACGGTCTACAATTCTAGCCACCCATGCTCACGAAACACGAACTGAGTTCAGAACAGGTGCACGGCAGGCAGATGAGAAAAGGGAATTGAGAGATGAGTGAAAAACCTTACTTTTTTCAGCCTAGCAAAACAAAGCCTGAGACTGGATGTAATTCCTTCTATAAATACATATGTGGGAAAGTGAGAGGAAGTATTTAAACTAAATGACAATGTTAGCACAGAACATATGGATATAAATTGGCCAGAAGGCTAGAAATCAGCAGACGTTTCTAACTAGAACAGCTCTGGAACAGTTATTCAATAGGAACAGCGGGGTGTTGTATCATTTAGTTGACATCAGTAGTAGGGAAAACTAGACCCAAACATCAGGAGCTCGCTTCCAGTCTTCTCTTCCATATTTATCACCTCCACTGATCAATGCCAAATACTCAGCTGGAGAACACAGAGTGTTAAATCTTCCCTCCCTCCTTTTCCCAGAGGAAATACTGCAAATGCCAGAAATGAAGTAGAGCAAATGTCTGCTCTGCTTGCCACCATGAATGCTGACGAGGTGCTGGAGTCTGGAATATGTTCTCTCCGTTTCTGTGCATGCACATACATAAACTCTCACAAGCATGTATATTTGTATGTCTGTGCAGATACACAGTGCACACAGATGAGCATTTGAAATGGACTATACACAGTCATATTTTTATTTCTCAGGAGTTCGAGTGTTCCAGTAGTTTCCAGTAGTTTCCTTACATTGGTAACAGAGTGTATGAGCATTTTTCTGCATTTTGACCACTGCAAATACAACCTATTTGCATGATCTCATATATATCATAGTATCTCTTCTGAGCCACAGTGAAAAATAAGGAACTACGCCAGGAGGGGACACCTGAAAATGCTGAATTTTTGCCACTTGAGTGCTCGTAGATGTGTGCATGCAGGCATGTACATGCAGGCATTTACATGCATACACATGCCTCCTGCTAACACAGGTACATATGTCTTAGCCTGGCCTGTGATAGCCTGTGGCCAGGTTGTTTTTGGAGGGGCGCAGTCCCACATACTAGGGGTTAGTGCATTAACACAGACATCAAGCCCCTGGTGTTGGCGTGCCACACCAGGGAAGTGTGTGCACCGATCTGTCCCTGGGACATGGCCTGGTGTGCCTCACTGAGCTTATTCGCTTGCCTCACGCTGAAGGCCCTGTGCTTTCTCAGGTCAGCGTGCAAGTATATGCATGGATGTGCGTGTGTGTCCCACCACAAGGCTCTTGGGTGTCACAGGCCACCGGGGCAGGGCACGTGCCCATCAGCATGGTGCGTGCCTCATCGGTGACAACACCCGCGTACACTTCAGGCATGCGCGTGTGTCTGTCAGCACGCGGCTGGCCGTGCTCCTCGGGCCAGCACGTGTAGCCGTGCCTCATGGCCACAGCCTCGCGTGTGTGTGTCGGAGTGGCCTGCGTGTGTGTCCTTATGCTGGTGACAGCTTCGTGCCACAGGACACCGAGTGTGTGTGCGCACTACCCCACATGTGCTGGTTATCCCTTGCGTGTGTCCCACAGAGACAGTCCCAGGTGCCTCAGAGCTGTGTCCTGCGGGGTCACAGGCCCGGTGTCTGTCTGTCTGTCTCACACTGTAACTCTGTGTGTTACTCTGGTCTCTGCGTGCCTCACAGCGACCCAAAACCCAGCGTGTGTCACTCCCCGTGTCCCTCAGCGCCATGTGCGAGTCACAACCACACCGCCCCACACACCCCAGCCCTGCAGCGGCAGCCACGGAGCCCTGCGCTCTGCCGCGTCCCGACACCCCCATGCCACGGCCCCGTGTGCCCGGCAGCTCGGTGTGTGTGTGGGAGGGCAGACGGCTGCGGGAGGCAGCGGAGGGCGAGAGCGGCGGCTGCGGCCGTGCCCGGCGGGGCTGGCAGGCAGCGGGCCCGCACGTCAGCGGGGCGGGCGGCGGCGGCGCCGTTAAAGGCCGGCGGCGGCAGGGGCTGTGCTCGGAGCCGGCGGCGGAGCGAGGAGGAGGAGGAGGAGGAGGAAGCAGCGGCTCCTCCGGCCACCATGTCGGGCACCCGGGCGTCCAACGACCGCACCAGCCACCCCGGCGGCGGGCTGAAGCGGGCGCGCAGCGAGCCGGGCGGTAACAAAGTGACGGTGGTGCTGGGGGCGCAGTGGGGGGACGAAGGCAAGGGCAAGGTGGTTGACCTGCTGGCCACCGAGTCGGACGTGGTGTGCCGGTGCCAGGTGGGTCCCGGGCCGGCTCTCACCCCTTTTTTTGGGGTCCCCCTTTACCCCTTGTCCCTTGCTTTTTTATTTTTTTCGCCCCATATCCGTCCCTCCCGTCCCGCCTTCCCCTCGCTTCCTGCCTTCTGCCCTCCCTCTGCCCCGCTGCTTTTTCCTCCTCGCCCCTTCCCTCCCTCGCCCCGTCCCCTCTGCTCTCCCCCCCTCTACCCCTCACCCCTCCCCGGCTGCGCATGGAAATGCCACGGGGGGAGGAAGAAAAAGCCCAGAACTATAAATAAAAACAGCTGACCCTCGGCGATAAGCGACACAAGATCCCCCGCGGGTGTCAGATGGCGGCCGCGGCTGGGGGAGGCCGGGCGGGTGGCAGGGGGTAAAAAGGCGTGTTTTGGGGGTAAAAACCTCCCTGCAGGGCCCCTCGGGGCGGGCAGGTCTCGGGTCCTTGCACAGCGCCTGGAATTTTCTTCTAAAAATAGCCGCGAGAGGAGCGTGAGTGGGTAAAAAGGCAAAAAGTTGTGCGAAAGTACAGGGCTGGCACAGGCTGAAAGCAGGGAGCGCTTCCCCTGGCGTTGCTTATGGATATTTCATTGGATATAGGGCTAGGGTTCCTAAATCCGTAATCCACTTACTGCAAACTAAGTTAGCCGCAAGAGTGATCGCAAATAATTGCAATAACTTTTAAAAGAACCATAGTAAAACGTTAATCGCAAACATATTAGGCCCATACCGCTTATAGCTGGCCCTGTAATGATTTCAATAAGCTATCTGATGGTGGTAATTATTACTTGGTTTACTTCAGCTCCCTTGCTATATGCCACGAAGTGCATTGCTTCTGAATGCATGGTAGGTAGTGAAAAGCTACAGATATGATAGGTAGTAAAAAGCTGCCGATAAGGTGATAAACCCAAGGACGTTGGTGTAATTAAGCCTATTGTATAAATAAATATTGCCCTGCGAGTTAAATATTTAGAAAGCGGAGGAAGCTTTTTCAATTGGAACAGTAAACTCCCATAATCTTGAATCACCTTGAGGAGAAGTTGCCCTGCAAAAGTTAGCTGGTGAATATGTATTAACAGGGCTATAGCAACTTTTCCATCTTTTTTTTTTCCCACCCTCCTCTAAGTTGTTGTTGCTGGGAGTTTCCCTTACTCATAATTGCTTTGGGGACTTTACAAGCCCTAGCAGCAGAGAAGCACTTTACATAGGCCGCAGTCATGTGTTTGCCATTACTACTGCAAGAAGTCGTACTGGCTCTTTTTAGGCTGTCTTTTGAGTGATGCCCTGAGGCTGCTTTTTTAAGACGGCTTTGCTGTCCCTCCAGAGAGCTGACTCACAAGCACAGCCCCAGGCGCAGCCACAGAACACAAGTGGAAGGATGCGGGGCTGTGTGTGCATGAGCCTGCTGCAAGGGTTGGTGTGTTAATAGCAGCCTGGGTAGCTTAGGTGGCCTAATGTGCTGCTGGGCACGTCTAGGTCAGCTTGCTGTTCCAGGTCTATAAGACCAGGATGATGGAAGGCACGTGGATCTGGAGGACCTCTGGACTCTTTTTCAGAACAGTATTCGCTGATACAAATGCACACAGCGTGTATATGTGAATACAATAGCATTACCAATGCACTGATTTAACAGAAGCATCTTCAGGATTAGTGTGTAGGGAAGAATGTAAAACACTTGAAAGAGGAGATTCAAGAAACTAATTACTTTTGAGTAGCAAAAGCTGTACATCTTAAAAGCGATCTTTTAAAATATTTACATGCTTTTTTTTATACATCTGGTGATACAGAAGATGTTTTTTAAAAAGTGCTTCTTTAATAATTTAATACTTCATACTTTCAAAGTCAGTCATGCAAGTAGATAATGTTATAATATTTGTCTTTGTTAGAACTCAGGTGGAGTAAGTATCTGAAAATTTATTAGCCTGTGAACAGTACTAACTAGAGTTCTCTCAGTGGGGTAATGGCACATGATTATCTTATCGGAGCAACCAGTTTGAGGGGAATTTATTTATTATATTATTGACATAATGTAGAAAAACAAACAGCAACAACAACAAAAACCTTCAGCATTTGTGCTGGAACATTGCTTATTTCCTGTTCCTCCTGGAAACCAAGAAAAAGTTTTCTTCATGCAAGAACACTTGTCTACTGGAATAGATTGCTTAATCAAGAAACACTGAAGACTCCCCTTACTAGAGATTCCAGAAGTTGTTCCCTCAGGAATTGTTGATGTCTTAGAATATGGTGATTGACTAGGTTGGTTCCTGATGCCCCATTTGCTCTGTTTTCTGAGACACTGATGGAAACAGTGTTCGACAGTATGTCTTAGTCCTAAGCAAAATGGAAATAGAAAACTAGAAAACTAATAACTGAGAGGGAGATATTTATGTCTCAACGAGGCTAATTCTTCATCACTGTAGGGTTCTCTTTGGTCTAACATTTTAAAAAGCTTTTTATTTTCTTCCCATTTTGGAATAGAATTTAAGCTCAGGGCCAAATGGGAGTTTCAAGAGCTTTCTCAAAATAGTAGTTCCCTAATATTTCTATGAGAGGAAGTATAATTTTCATTAAATATTTCTCAAGTATTTTTAGTTTGTTGATTTAATGAAGAAAATCTGTTGCAGCTGGATTGCTGCTCAGGAAATTACATATTTCCTGGGATACAGGAGGAAAGGCAAGCAAATGAGAACAGGGAGTCAGTCCTTTGCAGGCACAAGGGAAGTTTCAAGTTGTGTTAAAGAAAGAAAATTCAACATTAAACCTCTGACATCTTTAATTTCCCTGAGTTTTTGGAATCTGATTTCAGATGAATGAAAGATTCTCAATTTGATTGCATTGTGTCTGTTTTTCTCAATACTTAGATTGTAAACAATCCAAGTACAAAAAAATATGATATATTCCATAGTTTATTTTTGATATTAGCGATACTGAAATGTTTGACTTAATATAAAATTTTAGCTCACCTGAAGAAATTGATCTCAATTCACCTATATATCTGAAGCATCCTTTGTGTAAGGAGGATATTTCAATAACTTTAAAAGATTCCTGGATATTATGATAGATGATGCAGAACAGAGCTTCTTATAGGCTGGTTTCATAAAAACAGATACGTGGGCATGCTTTTTTTTTTCTCCCCCTAAACAAAACATAGAAAAGGCATTTCCAAATAAATGAGTAACAGCAGGCAGTTTAAGGTTGTTAAAGAACTGAGTAGGTTTCAGGTTATTAATGGAGAACATCAAGAGCATTTTTCTCTAAATTGCTCTTTCAGCAGGTGAAGGCATTCAGAAACAGAACAATGACACAGTTAATATTTCTTCCTTATTTTGGCCTCCTGGGGCATAGAGCTGTCACATTATGCTATGCAATGCTTTAAATCCCAGGTGTATTTTCAGGGAAAGGATACAGTCAAAGTTCACCTGAAAATGTTTAATTTTTCTATTGGCTTTAGAAAGAGATTTTGTGTGCTTGTGTAAAGCTGTTAACTGTCAGAAAATAAGGCATAAAGAGAGAAATTCACTTTTTTCTAGTATTTTATTGTGTCGTAAAACAAGACGTCCTAATTGAAGTTTAAAGAATCTGCATACATTATGATTATATCAGTGATGAGAGGCTCGGGCATTGCTTGAAATACGGCTTCAGACTGCGTGTTCTTGAATGACCATTCTGTCCAGACACCGTATGTCACAAGCTTCTTCATTGTGTGGCTGCCTTCAAGACTAAGAGCTTGTGGACAGATTTTTCTGCCTGTTTTTTAATCATTTAATTTTACAGACCTGGTTGAGAGTGTGACCGAGCAAACAGTTGACTGTCACAGCTGCAAAGGTGCAGCTCCAGAGGCATCACTTAAATTACATTTTTTCCCCAAAAATCATACATAGAACTACTGTAGTAAGGTCACAGATACTTGAAGGCAGCTGGCTGGCCATACAGTTCTGGCTGTTCCCGTAAATGAAGCTGAAGCTTTGCAAGGTATATTTGTAATAACAAGCTTTCACTGAATATATTTACTGCATGGGTCTGTGTGGATATGAATGGAAGAAGAAATAGCATGTATTGTCATAAAAAGGTGTGAAACGTACTACTCATCTTTGCCAGTAATGGTAAATTACTCATAAGACGCTTTCTTTTTTTATAATAAAGGTGAGTGCCAAGAATATCTAAGGGTTCCTGCTGTAAAGGACAGTAAACAACTCTGCCTTTTCTGATGAAACTTCTCTGTACAATAAATTTTTTCACACTTTGTTGAAAAACACTGGAGGAAAATGCTTCATAAACAATTCCATAAAAGAAAATGAAAGGGAGAAAAGACAAAACAGTTCTCCAAAAGATCAAAGTGAAAGATGCAAAAAATGCTGCTAATAAATTCTTAGCAGAGACCCTGTGATAGAAATCACTGTTTGCAGTGGATTTGATTTCAGTTTCTGAGCAGATTAGCAAAATAGCTGCAGTACAAATGCATGACTTTCCTTCGCTTCCTACTGAGGGTAGTAACACTGAATCAGCAACAGAGACTAGTCTGAGAGTTTTAAAGGGTTTTCAAGCCATCATTTGGCACTGGTGTTCCCGTGCCGCCCAGGCCAACACTGGATGTGTCAGACCCGTGACACTTGCAGCTTCTGGACGTCTGGAAACAATCTGCCTGATATTATCGGCATTCCCTTAAGAACTGGCATTGAATAAAAACACCCACCAGCTTGTGAGAATGTTTGTAATAAGAAGGGTTGTTACTAGATTTGTTGAACTTCTAATACCAATATGCTTTTAATTTTCACTCAATATGCAGTCACTTCTTAAAACATTGCCTCTACCCATCTCTGTTTGCTTTCAAGTTAAGAATTGCATCAGTTTTAAAAAGGATCGTCTGATCTTTTGAGACAGAGACAAAAATTTTAGCTGTATTTTATACTGAAGAAAAGCCAAAGCAATTGAAATGGGCACAGAAAAACTTGGTTATGGTCACTTGTATTTGATTAATATGCAGTTATTTAGACAGAAAAGATTTAATCAAGACAGTGTACACCAGGGATGCTGAGTAGTTTTCTCGGTGTAGTGGATGCTAACAAATAATGCCAAGAAGGGCTAAAGCTGTAAGAAAAGCATAAGGAAGTTTTGCAGTGATATCTCAACCCCAAAATTAGAGAAAAATGTTGGTAAAGGATGTACCCAACATATGATACAAATAACTGTTGCACATTCATAAGTTTCCTTATTTCCTTTTTCTAGTGGATTTAAGTACCATATGTACTAGAAATGGCACTTTGAGGAATGCAGAGGAATATACCATTGGCAAGTGATCAAATAATGAAAACCAAACAGGCAGAAATGCCTTTTTTTTTTTTTCAGTGGTTTAGGTGTGAGACAGGAACGCTTCCTCTATTTCTCTGTTGTGCTGCTGACAGAGGACAAAGCAGCCACATGTTTTGACTGTCCCTATTGATCCTGGGCTGCTGGGACTGTGCAGTGCAGTGGGGTTTAAATTAGGTCACTTCAATGCGATGAGTACGTGCAGTTGCAGGGGCTTGTTGTCTACTGTTTTCCTCTGTGT